ACTACCGTTTGTATTTATGTGACGGTTCAAAGATACGCCTACTAGAAGCAGTGAAAATTGTCCACAGGAACTCTTAAACTTCTCGAGGCTGTCCACTATACTGACCGCCTCTGTGGTCTAGTGTTCAGAGTTCCTGGCTGCAGATCTAGAGGCCCCGTGTTCGATTCCAGACGCTACCACATTTTCTGAGAAGTAGTGGTTCTGGAACGGGGTCCACTCGGCCTCGTGAGGATAATTTAGGAGCTGTTTCAAGAAAAACGAGATTAACGGCCGCGGGGAACCGTTGCGCTGACCACGTGACACCCTCTCTCCGCAAAATGTTGGCACTCACTTCCCCGACAAGCGGCGGTGTCTCGGTCGGTATAGTTCGCTTGCGGACTACAGACCATGGAGTTTTTCTTTTTTTACCCACTCTACTGCGAGTTACTGTGACATATACTCAGACATGGGGGTTAAACAGCCGTAGCTGTTTGTGATTTAAAAGTTTCAGCAAATGTAAATGAAGATGAGAGTATCTGAATGAATGCGTCTGAAACTTTTATACCGTTTCTGTACTACAGACGATGCAATTCTGCCGAAATACTCAGAGTTTGGGCAACTGTGGTCCCCAACTGTCGGGGCCTTCCGGGTCCGTGTGGGCGAGGCAGGCAGAGGACGCTCTGCGACGCGAGTGGATGCCTAAATGCTTCCTGGTGGGAATTGGGGTAGTGGGAATCTCATACTGCGTGGTGTATATAACTGGAATATATGAGCGGTCCTTGACGCTCACCGTGTTCACATTGCTCACCTTCTTGTTCATCTACATACTGTGGTGCAACCACCAGAAACAGCGTCACTGCAACCAGGTAAGCAGTATTGTGAGCATGGTCTCAACCAGGTACGGAGTATTGTGAGCATCACCTGAACCAGGTACGCAGTATTGTTAGCATCACCTCAACCAGGTACGGAGTATTGTGAGCACCACCTCAACCAGGTACGCAGTATTGTGAGCACCACCTCAACCAGGTACGCAGTATTGCGAGCATCACCTCAACCAGGTACGGAGTATTGTGAGCACCACTTGAACCAGGTAAGCAGTATTGTGAGCATCACCTCAACCAGGTACACAGTATTGTGAGCATCACCTCAACCAGGTACGCAGTATTGTGAGCATCACCTCAACCAGGTACGGAGTATTGTGAGCACCACCTGAACCAGGTACGTAGTATTGTGAGCACCACCTCAACCTTAAGGAATAGGGAGATTTGCGGACGTAGAGAGGATACGTGATTCAGGGTAGGGTCCTTTGGCGAGCTTTTGTGAACACTGAGACTTCGGTTTCGAAAACGAGTTTCTTCAGCATCGGATTGTTTGTTACGTTCTCAAGGGCTGTTACAGGAGCCTACTTGAATATGACGTTTGTTGCAGAATGTATCAGCGACAAACAGGACAGGATCCTCTGTGGCGACGATTTCCGAATTAGTGTCTCCATCATCACCTCCATGTCCACCTGCGCCATTCAACGTACCCGACAAATGTGACACTTTGCCTTCATCTAGGGCCTGCACTCCTCCACCAAGCTACCAGGAGGCTATGCTAGGGACAGCGGCGGTGAATCCTGTGCTCCCACCACCACAGATTCTCAACTACCAGGAGGCTATGCCAGGGACAGCGGCGGTGAATCCTGTGCTCCCACCACCACAGATTCTCAACTACCAGGAGGCTATGCCAGGGACAGCGGCGGTGAATCCTGTGCTCCCACCACCACAGATACTCGTACATTCACATCTCCCCTAACCTCACTTTGCCATCGATATGGGAACAGTGTGACATAAGCGTAATACTTATCAAACATTTTCTTTCTGAGAACTTCAAGATTGTTGAGTTGTCTTCTGTGATGTGACGCCATGTAATGTGGTAGATAGTAACTATAGTTTAGGAGAGACCTACTGTGTCTATCGTCAGGGCAGGCAACAGGTTCCTCCGAGTCGTTGGGCGAATTTCTACCAGATTATAAGGCGTCACATCTCAGAAGATCGTAACCGTCACAAGAACCGGAAAACCTCAAGATTTTTTCTCGAAGAAAGATGCAAGGAGCAACTCAGTGGAGTAGTTGTCAGAATGTATAACTGTGATGACAGGCTTACATCAAGGATTTTAGTTTGTCGCATGATAATAACAGTTGATTGAGGCACTATGATACAAGTCGGAAGGTCGCGGGTTAGATTTCCGATAAGATCGGATTTTTCAATTGACCCAATCCCTCCAGCTTCACTATGGCCCTGGGTTCGACTCAGCCTCTGACAGAAATAAGTACCAGGAATCATCCTGGAAGTACGCAAGGCTGACAAACTCACCGCCATCTGTGAGAGCCTCGACGTCTCACAAACCTGTGGACCTACAGGGCCTGTTACAAGGATAACCTTACCTTTGTCGTCCTGTGGAAACTTGGCTTAACGTGAACTTTAGAAATAACTATTCCAGAACTTCACAATGCATTCCTTGCTGGTAGGAATTGTTCACTTCACATAAAGCTGATGGAGTTTGAGCTCCAAATGAATTCTCCAAATAAATTCATGTGGTCAAACAAAAGTCAGATGTGGAATTTACTGTAGGATGTGCGCGGATTGGAGTTCATGTTGGTGATAGTTTGAGTTTTATCAGGTGTAATCTTTATTTTACTATGGAGTATATCAAAATTACTGATAATTAATGCGAGTTTTCTAAAAATGTAATCACGCAACATTCATTCACCCATACAAGTTTAAACACACATTATCATGAAATTCTGTTGGAAGATTTTAACCTAAAATTGTAATTTATGTGTAATGACATTCCCATATCCGCTTGGGACTACCATGTTCCTCCGTCATTTGTTACATATATAAGATATCCTTGAAGAGCACGATTTTCAGAACGAAAAATTCAACATATAATATTATTTGTACTGTGCATTTCCCATTAAATAGATCCACAAAGAATATGTATCTATGTATCTATCATAAATTTAGGTTTTAATTCTTTGTACGAGACAAACTAATAAATGTGCTATAGGAAGGAACGGCCGCTTAATCAAAATTACCCCAATATCGAAACAAATGACAATTAGAAACTCATTCTCTAATATGAATGCTACATTAATTTATTTTCTTCTTGTGTCTGGCATTCTTGTCTTTCGGTGTGGCACCGCACAATTTCCTAAATATCGCCCTGCTAATCAGCAATGCTAAGAGCAAGAAAACACCGACAGCTAGCGCCAACACAGCGATGACATCTAGCAGGAAGTACTGGTACCAGGTGAGGTCGAGTGCAGCGGAGCGCATGTGAGGAGCTCCCTTGTGTCTGATCACGTACTCCGTCCAGAACGCGGCCTGCTCCAGCGGTGTGAGTGGCTGGTCCCGGTAGATTCGGGACAGACGTTGGGCGTTCTCACGGTATCTGTAAACAGATGTAAATTGTACAAAAATCTTCGAAATAAATAACTATTACATACTGACTGAGTCGATGATATAAAGCATCAATCGAAGAATTTTATTCTTGTTTTATACTATAACGTTTGTTTTATATAATCTAATTTAGTGTATTTTTACGCCAAGTATTTTATATAATTAATATGATTGTATTCAATTTTACTAGTACTGCAGTTCAGTGGTGTATATATGTTAGCCATATATTTGCCTGATGATGGCTATTAATAGCCGAAACATGTAGTAGAGCCAAAACTAGGCACTTACCTTGATATAGTTGTGTTTTGACGGTTTCAATAAAGAAGTTGTATATTATAACACAACAGGATGCATGAAATGAAAACTATTACCTAGCTGATTATGGAGTTCTCTCACGAATTAAGATATTCTAGAACGACAGTCACAAGTTTACCTTTCATTCTCGAGTCGGAAAAAAGTTGTGACACGATGGGCAGAATTCTAGTCGTTTCCACCTTTACAATGTAAATGGTGGGAAGGGTATTATTTAATGACGTCCGATATTTCGGAGGAACGTACTACTTCCATTTTCAGGATCGAAGAGAAATCCAGCAAGTAGCCACCAAGAACCCTATTTCCTTTTGGTAACATCCAAGGAGTCCTACCGTCGGTGTAAAAAAAAATACGAAACTGAAGAAGAGGCCATCAATGAATGAATGTGTGAATGAAATATTGAAACTATATGCGTTTGTGCATGATCAGTAAAATCGGAATGCTGGCTATATTGGTGTTCGTTCGCACTGGGTTTGACGGATCCATCTGAAAACAGATAATTAACTCTGTACCTTGGTTGGAGTGCCGTTTGTATCGCCCAAAGGACAGATTCCGCTGTGATGTTGTCAAATTCCAGTCGAATTCCGTACCCAAGACTCTCAGCTTTCCGCACGTTGAGATACTGATCTCCGTAGACCGGGATCCCCAACAGGGGAACACCGCGATTGATAGCCTCCTGTTTGCTCAGCAACCCGCCATGCGTGATGAAGAGGCGCACATTTGGATGTGCTGCACAAGGAACAGGAACTCTCTTGACGGCCACTGAATATTCTTTCCCTTAACTTACTTGTTGCGATATTAATGTAAAGACTCTTTGCTGACTGTGTTGGCTAAGCTGAGTGATTTGTGAGGGGGGTATATGAATTAATGAATTGTTAAGGTTTCTTTCATAATTTGTGTCCTGTTGATGCTAATTTAATGTACTGTAACAGTTTTAGTTACTATAGACGGGGTTTGGAATGCGTAATCGGATGTATTGAACTTTTACAACTCGTAACTACAAGTAAGATCGTATTATTACTGTTCTACACACTTCACTGATCACTATGGGGCATATTAGGTCTTCTCAATCTGTTGCCGTCCGCACTAGCCGTTGCTTGGTAGCGGCTTCCAATGGCGGATGTTCCCCTTTCTCTGTGTTTCCGAACTGTCCCCTGCCTCACCTACCAGCATCTCACAGTAACAGCTCACGACTGAACTGCAGCAGTCCTCTAACTCACTAACTCACCAACCAAGTACTCCACACTAACTTGTCCTGCTTAAAATATCTCTGCACGGACCCGTAGAAAACACCATTCTCTGTTTTAATGCAATTGTTTGCGTAGCTATTAGTTAGCACCGGCTAAGAGGAATGCATGTAGGATATTGGTGGGAAAGCCAGAAGGAAAGAGACCACTAGGAAGAATAATACATAGGCGGGTGGATAATATTAAAACGGATCTTAGAGAGAGAGGATTGGTTGCTATGGTTCCCGGTTCAGGTCAAGTGGGATTTGTGGAGGACAAAGTGGCGCTGGGGCAGGTTTTCTCCGAGTACTTCGGTTTCCCCTGCCAATCGTCATTCCACCAAATTCTCCATCATCATAATCACCCGGAGCAGGCTACAATAGGCCAATCAGTGGCCGCCATGCCGAGTGGACCCAGCTGGACTCCACCCCCCACTAAGCGAATTAAAAAAAATAACTCGCCTAGAATGTCGGCCTGTGGTAGCCACTTGCCCAGTTTCACATTGTTGGGTTGCCCTGGTAACGAGTCTGTCTCCCACTTCCAGAGTACCTTCTGTTCCAGCTTAGAGAACGCTTCTACGAAAGCTTTTCTCACGGAGTCAGGCATTTGGGAGCCTTGTAGGAGTGAACCCATGCTGAAGTAGATGACTCCGTTTGGTGCTTCATCCAGATATATTTGCAGGTCCTGTAGACAGACAGAGGGTTACTCATTTAGTTTAATACTTAATATACAGACTAAAGTGATGATGACAAAACTTGAATTCGATGAAGTACAATTTTTATTCAGGTGGTTCATAAATAGTAATGGAAACAGAACGGTAACACCATACATATGTTATCTTGGAACCTTTATTTTAAATTTTCAGATCGTATTTCGTTTTCATTTCACGTCTTTATTTTAAAAAATAAGTGTCAATTGTAAGAATTCAGTTTCGTTCGCAAACAGCTCCTTTCGATCGCTCATTATTATCTGGAATGCGGTAGTCCGAGCAAAAATGTGCATAAGTCTACATAGCGATCTGCCTGTATTATATAAAATGCCATGACAGAATACAATTACATAAAAATATTCTATCCCTGTAACAGGACGTGGAGGCCCATAGGGTCGTGAGGCGTCGGGGCTCCCACATTTTCTTTAGACAGTTGGCTCACTGATGGCTGTAAGGTTGTCATCCTTACGCGTCGGCCGCCCTTAACCCCCCAGGAATATTCCTGGTACTCATTTCTGTTAGAGGCTGAGTCAACCACAGGGTCATAGTGAGGCTGGAAGGAGTAGGTCAATTGAAAAAAAAAATTCACCTCATCGGAACTCGATCCCGCGACCTTCCAACTTGTAGCATACGCTATCGCATGCCCTGAACACAGTTACACAATAATATAAATGAAATCATCAAAGATGGGGTAAATTCAGCTGAAACTGTAGCAGACCTTACCTCCGGTAGTTTCTTTGCCGTCTGCACATGCATTCCGCCAACTTCAATCATGTTAGGTACTAGTGGCCTCGGATAATTGAGGCTGAAGTGATTGTTGAGAAGCAGCAGTGACGTGTTACGAACAATGTCTGCGAGCGGAGGAATATCATCTGTGTCGTTAAAATACTGCCTCATCACTGCTTCTTGCCGTGGGATGCTATAAAACTCTTGTCCAGTTCTCCAGTAAACTCCAGTTAACGTGTTCACCAAACGTTCCCCAAAACTCATATGAGAGCTGTAGTCAAGAAATGCATCCGGGATATAAGCGTACGGATTGGGGTTTCCAAGCCAGTCCCCCATCCAGTGAGTACCACCGAATTGGCAGATCTGTATTATAAGAGCTTGGAATTTATGTGCAAACCCGAGGACACACTCGTTCGCGAATGTCTCCACTATGATGGCATCAAAGTGATGATGTTTGGAATGTATGAAGGTCTGGACTTGTGGATGCTGAAAAATGCTGACGCAGAACGCAGGCGCTGATTTCCATTGAGACCTCGAGAGTTCCAGTGTGCCTTTATGTCTTAAATTGAATAAATTTCCTGAAACTGAAATATAGACACAAATGATGCGCAAGCCAAAATATAACAAAAGAGAGCTTACGTTCCAAATAATGTGATGGGTGCTGTAACCAGAACCTTATTTTTCTTTTGCATTTCTGGCTCCCTAAATTCATAGTGCGTTCATATTTGTGAGGCCCACTGATTTGTCAAGAAATTACAGCACGTGCTTGAACTGTTACGAGTAAAATTATATCGAGATTAAACCATTAAGATAACTAACTAAAAAAACTCCGGGGCTTGAGCCCGCAAGCGAACTATACCGACCGAGCGACCGCCGCTTGTCGGCGAAGTTACTGTAAACTTTTGAGGACAGCGAGTGTCGCGTGGTCAGCGCAACGATTCCCCACTGCCGTTAATCTCGGTTTTCTAGACCGGAGCCGCTATTTCCTTGAAATAGCTCATCAGTTACCCTCACGAGGCTGAGTCGACCCCGTTCCAGACCCACTACTTCTCAGAAAATATTGTGCGCTGAGAATCGAACCCGGGACCTCTGGATCTGTAGCCAGGAACTCTGACCACTAGACCACAGAGGCGGTCCTTAAGATAACTAACAATAGCAGATATATTGTTTTATTTATTACGGTAATATGCAGAGCCGAGATAGCGCAGTCGGTATAGCGACTGGCTACTGTCTGGCCGGCCGAAGAGCCGGAGTTCGAGTCCTGGTGGGGTGAAGAATTTTCAATTCTCCATGTCGTCCAGACCGGCTCTAGCGTCCACCCAACCTCATATCCAATGGGTACCGGGGGCTCTTTCCCCAGGAATGAAGCGTCCGGGGTGTGAAGCTGACCACTCACCTCCATCTAGTGCCGAGGTTAAGAAAACGTGGGTCTATACTCGTACATCCACTCCCCTATACGCCTCCATGGCGTAGTGCTTAATTAGTTAACCATAGAGGCAACTTTACCTTTTATGGTAATATGCATTCTACATCTAGGGTCTGGACTGTCGTTATAAACTTACAATCATCTGTCAGGTCGAGTTTCACTTCTATCTCCGTTAAGTTTGGTATGGGGTTCTTCTCTCGAAAAGGACTAATGACCGTCACCTGATGTCCTCTTCGTGCAAGTTCGCGAGTCAGAGCTGAGAAGACAATGTTGTGGCTCTTTGCTGGAATCGGGAATACCCCGAGTATGTGAGCGCTTTCTGAAGTTGTCAATAATGCCACCACAAGCGCCACCAGTATGTATAACTTCCCCGCCATCTGTTGGCAAGAGAGTGATTGTGCAAGGGTCAAGTAACGCGTAAACACACCATCCTTCTAAGGAAATTTTAAAACACATAAATCATTAATTGCCCTATCCAATAGGGTCGAATTGTTAAGGGTGCGCGCTAAAGCATGTTCAGATTCGCCATTGGAGCACGTTTCCTTCATATAAGCTCATTTCATTTTATAACTGTTAATTTATTTCTTCTGCTTGCCCTGGTTTTGCCCTTAAAATGAATATTGCTTTTGGCAATTCAGATTTTAGACCAGTTTCTCATTTGATTTGGGGGGTTCCACAATATTCGCATCTTATACTCTTTGCATAGATTCTGTTAAAGCACATTCTACTTTAAAAAATCTTTCCATTAATGGTTTTGCTAATTGAGCAGTTTCATTCTTGTTTACCATTTAAAAATTACTCGTTTTCCACTCCATGTAAGCAACTGACATTGTTTAAATGTTTAATGAGGAACGCCAGATTTTTATTCCTGCGTTTACGCAGTTCATTTCTAATTTCTTTCAAAGGCATACTACTCAAATCAGAATTCTATTTTTCCAAATTACTAAACAGAAACTTAAAAATTCCTTTGTTTCTTAGGAGATTTTCATAATGATTACTTAATGCTTCAAATGCGAATCGAATAGGTTTTAAGCAATTTAATAAATCTTTCACAATTTCATAATATTCCTCTTTCCATAAGTGACAGAGCTTCCGCTGTCGCAAAATGATCTTTATCGGATTTAGGATCTATAAAAACATTTCGATCATTCTTTCTAACTTGTTCCAAGGTGTCTTACAGTACAAATGACGTATAGTTCAATTTTTTACAGCAAGATGGAGCGCATGACTGTAACATAACCTCTGAATAGTCGGTAAAAACTTTCCGAATTTTTCCATCACTGTTGTAGCGTCACTAGTTTATGTGCTTCACGTTTTAATTCTAAGGTTCCTAATGTCTCCAGAAGGAAAGATAACCTATAGCCTATAGCGGACATTGGAACAGTGTAAAACGCAAGAATGACTCGCCGTTAACAGCAAACATGGCCTCCAACACACGCTTATAACAATGCAACAGTTACAAGCAATAATGGCTGGCAATATCGTGACTGCTTCTCTCCTCCGTGTTCTTGTCACGGTTTCCCGGGAATGTCGACCTTAACCTTTACTTTACGTGTCAGCATTTCCTGCTTTTGCTATAGACTTTATATCTCGCAGGAGAATTATAATACTTTTTTCCTCCGATTATTGTTATGCGTGGATCCATTCCTGTGGTAGCACGCATTGGTTGTGGAGGAGGCCAAGGCTCACCCAGGGCTGTAGCGCCTAGTGGTAGGTGGGTAGGTGTTCCCCTCCGATTTCACGATTTATTTTTCTCAACCACAACACAAGACTCAAACTTTCTCCCAAATAAAATGAACACAAAGAAGGAGAAAACGGAAATATTCCATTTAAACTGCAATATATAAGAATACACAAACTTCCAAATAACGTAAACTGAATACGCAAAGTTAATGGAACAAGTTGTTAATTAGGTTAGTTAGTTAGTTATTAGAAAGGGTGGGTTTCCCCATGCACTTAGACCTGTAGCGGTCCATTGTGCTTCCCTCTATGATTTCTACCAGTCTCTATATCCTACCGGTATTNTTCCATTTAAACTGCAATATATAAGAATATACAAACTTCCAAATAACGTGAACTGAATGCGCAAAGTTAATGGAACAAGTTGTTAATTAGGTTACTAACAGGTATTGAAATGTATGTTTTCTTGTCTATACAAGTATGAGAACACTCACAGTACTTTCGAATTCCGCTCAGCACTCCTTAGCACTAGCTGCCTGAGTGTTGTACTGACCCCAGCTGATTCTTCACACAGTGCACCGATCGAGTCTCGTTGACCTGCAGACTAATAGCGACATCTTCAGAGAAGAGAGAAAAGTGATCTGTCAGCGAGCGAAGCCTCTTGCATAATGTGCTGTCTGATATCCTTAAGTTAATGTACCTTATCTCTAGCACGTACAATGGCAAAAGTCTGAGATAATTGTTTATTACTGTAACTCTGCTGTTTCATCATGACGTTACATTTTCAGGAATCTGTAGACAACTTCAATGCCACTGAGATCTGTTATCCTGAAGTTACTGAGTATTAAGATCACGGTCTTCTGAGACATGAAATTTGGTGAATGTCGTCTTCCGGAATGTGGCGCCGTGTGTATTTTGTGCGAACCGACGTTTCGGAGGAACGTATCGTCCCAATCTTCAGGGCAAAAAATCCGAGAGCTAGGAACCAGCGTGAGTCACATCCCAGAAGACGGCATTCTTCATAGTCACCGCCGTGCAAACCTCAAAACTTACAGTGTGCTTCTTTTGATGAGTGTTAACGTCTTCCAAGAACCTGCTGCTGTGGTCTGCAGGACAAAACACGGAGGAACAGAAACTTGTTTCTTCGAAACGTCGGTACTTGTCTATTCAATAAAATACAGATCTTTCTCATCATATCGTAATCTTGGATTATTTTATCTGTAGTGATAGTTTCGGAGGAATTTATATCCTCCATCATCAGGGTTGAAGTGTAATCCAAGAAAGAAATAAGCAGCAAACTGAGTCGCTTCTGCTGGTTTCCTGCTTGGCTTACTCTTCTACCGGAATATGAAGGGGGTATGTTAACCGAAACGTCGGGCTCTCTCGGAGCTACATGTCATTACAACACAGAAGATTGTGATATTCACAGTCACCGCCGTGAGCACCCGAAATGCAAGGTGGAAAGATGAAGTCTGTTGAAGTCGGAACAGGCTAGAGGGCCTAGCATTTGAAGCAGAGGACAAAGAAGAAATTTCATCTGTTCGAATAGGAGACACAAAGCTAAGAGATTCAGAGCTGAATATAATCAATGCTTCTCCCCCACCCCCCAGATTTAATCTGCTCACGTGGGTTAGAGATAACAAGTATTGCACACAGAACATGCGCTCTACGGATGGTATTCGCTGAAAATACGGTATGTGACGTAACGTAAATGTATTCAGCAATGCAAACTCATCGATGTTGTCACGATTTAGGGATGGCGATATACTGGGTACAGACTAGTGAATAGATTTATTGACCGCTTATACACACGACTCGGAACTACAAGTAATTACAGCGCCACACATTTTTCAAATCACCACAGCACCCACTGAGTCTTCTCCAGCCTGCTGTGTTTTAACGAGATGTTTCCTGGTAGCGGCTTCTAACAGTGGAAAATCTTCAGCTTCCCACGCCACTTGTCACAGCCGCGCGTGCAGAACTCTTTGTCAACTGTCAACTGAACCATAGCGCCATCTCTTCACGCAGGGGTTCATTTCCGGGATATTCGCCGGAATGTAACGACGTAAGCACGGGAAGCTGAATAATCTCTACTGTTAGAAACCGTAGCTAGGAGATAGTTGTTGAAGATACAGCAGGACGGATAAAGCTTAGCGGGTGCTGTGGTGATCTACGGATTCTTAAGGATAGCAGTGGCGCTGTAATAAAACAATTCACCAATTCATACCCCATCTATAGTCACACTCCTCAATATGTGACTGGTTAGACCACGGGAAAGAATGGACAGAACCCACTTACTCAAACCAGATTCTCAGTACCAGCCCCGCGGACGACGGGATGCTGGAAGACCCAGAAAGAGATGGAAAGTTGAACACCTCCAGCTTTAAAAGAACAAGTCTTAAGACCTAATCCCTGTTTATGTTCACGAAGGAGATAAAGTCTCAAACTGTTTCTTGTTCTCCTGAAAAGTGACATTTTAGTGACTAAATCTCGTCTTCCACAACATCAAAAATACGATACTGTTTTCTGACGCCTTGTAGTCTGACAACCACATTTTTTAGGAATTTGCTGTCTCAATTTTCATCACTGAAGCTGGAGGCAGCAAATTTCTCCAAAATGTTGATAAGTACCTACCACACTACACGGTATCACAGCTCAGAAGATCGCAATGTAAATGATATGTGACTTTGACTTTGATTTGAGCTCATCACTCGTGTGGAGGCGTGGTCGAATACCTCCATCGTGACCCTGAGAGTCGTAGGAGGCGACGAAAAGGGAGGTCTTAAATCTGAGACAGTAAAATATGGTTACGAATCCCAAGGGACTCGGACCCGAAAAAGACTGCGCTGGCAAGGTCCAGCAGCATATGCAAAATACAGACCCGTCCTCTTGTCAGAGAGGGCGCCCCACGAAAACAAGACCGTAACTGTCAAACAGCAATAAATATCTGGTCATGAGCCCCAGATGGGGCTCGACACCAAGAATTACTGACTGACTGACCATTTCCTGCAATGTGACCTTGACTTTTACTTTGACTTGAGCGAAATGGAGAGAGTTGAGTGTTGGCACTTCAATTGAGTTCTGCACGGGAGGCTGTGAAGAGATGGTGCTATGGTTGAGTTGACAGCTGACAAAGAGTGCTGCACGGGAGGCTGTCAAGAGATGGTGCTATGGTTGATTTGGCAGCTGACAAAGAGTGCTGCACGGGAGGCTGTGAAGAGATGGTGCTATGGTTGAGTTGACAGCTGACAAAGAGTGCTGCACGGGAGGCTGTCAAGAGATGGTGCTATGGTTGAGTTGCCAGTTGACAAAGAGTTCTGCAAGGGCGGCTGTGACAAGTGGACCTGAGCGCGGGAACCTGAAGATTTTCCACTGTTAGAAGCCGCTGCCAGGGCAATGAACCTTCGGATACCAGAAAATGTTGAGAAATTCCGAGTAGCTGAACGACTCTCGGCTTCTCAGGAAGGGTTCAACTGAATGAAGTTAATTGGATTTAATGTATTTAACTTAGAATTTCGTTGTGACACTGAATAAAAATACTGGGTTTGAAGACATAGACTGGTTTCTGTTTCATCACTTTAATAAGTAGAAATCTGTAACACGTTCATCCCATTTCGACCTGTCCTTCAAGTAATTTTCCAACACCGCATCTGTTTTTCTTTTTTTTTCATTTCCTGCTACCCAGAACATGAATTTTCGTTGCGAATGTTCCTTCTTCAGTGTCTTCTCTCTGAGATGCGCTGCCGTTTAGAGGTCCCGAGATGGTTTCAAGCAACCATTTCCTGTGCATTGCGACATCTATATAGATGCCAGGCTCTCCAGGCACTGCGCAGCCTCTACCCCAGCTCACCACACCTGCCAACACTTGCCTGCCGTTGTCTTCATTCCGACAAAGCAGCGACGATCCTGAGTCACCCTGCGTGCAGACAGACAAAGCGGTCACGTCGTTGGGAGTTGTCAATTAACTCTATACTCGCGGGTCGCAGGGTCTTCATACCTGTGTGTTGTCAAACCGTTCGAAATGTTCGTTTCTCTGCTTTGGACCTTCAAATACTGATGAAGAGAGAGAGAGAGAGAAAGAAGAAAGAAAGAGCAAGAAAGAAAGAAAGAGGATCGATTATAAGCAGGTTCCCAGGCTTTGCCCGCTCGTCCTTCTGGTAAGAGTAAAGTGAAAGTGTAGGCGTTAATACTGATTTCCTTCTAAATAATATTGTGACGTGTTGCGCAATGGTAATAGGCAAGTCAACATCCTCCCTCCCCTCCCCCACCCGCCAGCGGTAACGGTCCGAGCGGAGCCGAAGTTAGCCGAGTCCCAGCATCCTGGTCGCTATGCAACGCGAGTCAACAATAAGAATTCAGTCCGTACCTCACGGGAAACACATGTCTCCGCTATAAAGCCCAACCGTTTAATGATGTTTAAGGAAACAATCGCTGTTTATTGTGAGAGCCATACGAAACATACGAGTATAAATACACTGGGTGGGCAGAATACAGTGTTTTAGCATTTTAAAGCAGGTGGTATATGGAATAACCACTCGGTTTTGAAGGGTTAATGGGGTGCGGAAATATTGTCTATTGTCACAGAACTCTTGTTAACATGTTGAAGGTACAGGTTAAGTTGCCCCTGTGCTCAAATAAGCAACGCGGAATGAGGACGTGTGGGGGAGTAGAGGTACGGTGTCACGATTCGTGGCCTCTGGACTAGCTGGAGGTGAATGGTCAGTTTCACGCCCCGGCTGCTTTATCTCCGGTACCCATTGGATAGGAAGCTGGGTGGGCCCCAGAGCTGAGTGAAAAGTTTCTCGCCCCCTGCCAGGAATCGAACACGGCCCGTCTCTCTGCCAACTGAGCTATCCCGGCTCCTTAATAATATAAATATTGCAAATAAGTTACGCTTATTTTTACAGTTGTCTCGCATTGAGACTCGGTCTCTGTTCAGATCATGTGGAACTTGTGGACAAAGTGGCACTGGGGCAGGTTTCTTCCTAGTACTTCAGTTTCCTGTGCCAATTCTCATTCCCGCAACTGCCCCATATTTTACATCGCCCCTATAAAGTCTCGATACTGACAGCGTGGTTATATATTATTATTATTATTATTATTATTATTATTATTATTATTATTGGAGGGGGTGGGTTTCCCCATGCACCGCGACCAGTGGTCTATTGTACGTCCCCCTGTGATATTCTACCAGTCTCTATACCCTACCGGTATTGGTGCGTGCCATCAGTCCCGACTCAGCCAGCGAGTTCGGCCTCTACTGGCTCAGCGGTATCTAGATGCTTCCCCCATCTACCAGAGGCGTTAGAGACTATTGTTGGGCGGGAAATGTCCTTACAAATTTGGCTCAGTGGTCTCCTTGAGACACGAACAAGCTAGAACATTATTTCTGCTTCTGGCCTTACTTATACACGTTAATATGTAGCAGAAGACTAGAATGGCACGGAAATGTGTCGTCAGACTGCTCTTACTGGAGATGTTCAAACACGGTGTTCAAATCCATAGAATGGAAGTGGAAACGGTAAATTTATTTTGGTACATTCTGTACACAGTTGGAAACGGTTCATGACAAAGCACCAGTGTTGTCTGTGTATCGGGTTTATATCATTCTTGTCCTACTGATATATCAGTTCTCAAGTATTTTTTTTTGTAGCATGTAGTTTTTATGTCCTTACACAGATGGCAGCTCTGTGTTCGAAAATGCGTCATCTGAAGGCTAGAGATATAACGTGATTGACAGTTTTAAAGGAGTGGAGGGGACAAGGAAATAAAGGTATGACGGGAAGACAGTTAATGAAGGAAAAATACGAAAACGGAAAAGTTTCTCGGCTGAATTTATCTCTGATTTCATTGACGTTTTACTTACATATATGTAAACTGCCAAATTTGAATACTTCTAATACGAAAGTCTGCCACTGGACACTATCCTAATTAACTACATCAACATGCTGTCTTCATAACCTCTCTTCCGCGAGATTAATCTTAATATTGTATTCCCATTTTCATTTCGGTCTTCCAAGCAACTATTTTCCAAGACATTATTCCCTCCAAAGATTCTGCATAAATTTTATTATGTGTGAAAGTTTTACAGATTTTGGCTAAGATCATAATTGAATATTAATGAAGAGTACCATATTTACAAGAAAGAAGATTACAGCGGAATTTCAGCTTACCACGCATGCGTCAGAGTTTCCCCCTCCGGCACACAGAGTGCCTGGTTCTAGCGTGATGTAGGGCTTCAGGCTCTGTTCACAGGCCTTCCTGCGCACAACAGGCACCGTTGCGCAGTGAAGAGTGTCCGGAAACACGTGACTTTTCGGATTTAATGTGCCCAGTCCACACACCTGACATTCACCTGTTCACAGCAAGAGATCTAAAACCCTGAGATTAAAATCATCTGTGATTTCGGTTGTGCAGTTATTCTGTGTTTAGCCAGAAGATCGCATAACCAGGGCAGTAAAGTAAATAGTGACGAGAGTGACGCAACACCCAGTACGATTTAGATAGGCAAGAGACCCTCATAGAATTATGTTTTTAAAACTTTCCATGCACACAAAATTCTAGTAATGTAGACCCTTTTCTCTCTCTACAACCCTTTGGATCTTGGCCGCTTATTCAATTTCTTAATCTCTACACAGTCGGTAGGACTCCTTGTACGGGGGATCAGCTCGTCACAAGGCCGCTACCTACATACAGAATGGACACATAGACATCCGTGCCTCGAGTGGGATTCGAACCCGCGATCCCAGTACCCTAGCAGGCGAACACGGTTCATGCCTTAGACCACTAGGCCACTGTGATCGGCCATTGGAAAGTTACTAGGCCCTATTTTAGACTTAATTCATACGCCGGTAGGAAATTTGAGCGTACTTACATATGAATTTTCATCGCTGAGGTGACCTACACGAGCTGTGACTTTAGTTTCTGTGGGTTTCACAAGGATAGACATACCTCTCGGTTTAAACCCCGGCGGTGGTAGAGTAGCAATGGTCCCCTCTATCATCTCTGATGTCCTTAGGAGTGTCAAGTCAACAGTAGCCATTTTTCTTCTGTGAAAGGAAATTGGATAGAATGGGAACAAGATATTTTTTTTTATTGCTAGTGGGGTGGGACTAAGAACCTTGTACTGCGGCCGCTTCTGGCCTATTGTACCAGCCCCAGATGATAGGTGAGGGTGATTGTGGAGCAATTGGTGGAATGAAGTTTGGCAGGGGAATCCGAAGTACTCGGAGACGACCTGCCCCAGTGCCACTTCGTCAGCCACAAATCCCACTTGACCAGACCCGGGATAGCGTTGGGAAGCCAGCGACTAACTGCTTGAGCTATGGCGCGGCCCGTGGGAAAGAGATAAGTAGACACACTGGGAACAAGGTTTAGAAAGAGAAGGAGAAAAACGAAAACAAGGAACGGTAGAAATGACAAGGAATTGCCACTTCCAATTGCTTGCAATGCTATATTTATGTACTGCACTTCATAACTCAGCAATAAATTCAATTTAAGTCATGGGTTTGCTTACTGTGCTTTGCTCAGTTGATAAGATGATCGATTTATGGAGGAGTGTGGTTTGAATACATTGGTACCAGTCATGCATTTAAGATTGTAAAAGGAAAAAGGTAAAGCTATCCCTGTAACAGGGAGACGTTGAGGGTCCCACATTATCTAGACAGTCGGCTCACAGATGGCGGTGAGGTTGTCAGCCTTACGCACTTGCCGGCCTTTATCCCTAGGAAGATTCTTGGTACTCATTTCTGTTAGAAGCTGAGTCGACTCCCAGGGCCATAGTGCGGCTGGAAGGATTAGGTCAATTGAAAAAATCCAGTGATCTCATCGGAAATTGAACCCGCGATCTTCCGGCTTGTAGCATAGTGCGTCAACCTACTACGCTACCATGTGCCCCTGTTTAATGTTATAATGACAATAATGATAATAATTATAATAATAAATAATGTTTTCTTTTTGGCAAGTGCTAGTACTTAAGTAGAGGCGTTGTTAACGTGAGTGAGTCTGAAGGCTCCCACAGCCGTCAGAGAGAAAAGTATAGTCATGAGTTCCCTGGAACTTGGAACCGAGAATCACAGTGCTGGCGAGGGCCAGCAGCATTGTAGCAGTCAGTCAGTTAAATTATTCGGACATTATCTGAGAGTTACGCATCATCGCCATGTTTGCAGTTGTTGAGCTTTAAAAAAAACTACAGAATTCGTTCATGGCACATCTCTTTGCCGAATTTCATGTGTATAGCCGAATGTCTTATTTGTTATGAGCTTAGTGCTAAAAAAATATAAATTTCATGCAGCCGCCATTTTGTTTTACATTATACTTGTATATACATATAACCTGAGCAAATTTCGTATATTTTTTGGAAGATCTGTTACCATACGCCATTTCACCACGCATTGTAAAGTGGCGTTAGTGTCGCTCCCACCTCACAAGTTCGTGCTCCCTTTGTGTTGTTACTACCGATTATAATAACTTAAAAATGATGTATTAATTCTAGGTTTGATTTATTTAATTATTTATTTATATGAGTCTTTATTCAACTTGCATAAACCTGCGGTTGAGAGTTCGTTTATGAACAAAAAGAATGTTGATTGCTTAATGAACTTACTCCTGCTGTGGATATCGGATCAGTTCCTCCACGTGGTACCAGTCTCCTGCCTCTATTTGAAGCTTGAGCGGAACCGGAAGTCTCCTGCAAAATGACATACACTTACCGCCTAAGGAAAGGAGGAGGGAGATAAGGAGGTATGAGAAAAACTCACAGAGCCTACTTTTCTGTTGCACGGGCTTCAAGTGTAACATACATATATACAGGGTGATTCAAATTTATTGTCGGGATTTCCGTGACCTATGAGTTTCAAACCGGAAACAACAGAATAAATCTGCTTAAACAATATGAAAGCGTAACTCAGAAAGTTTTATTTCGTATAGAATCAATACTGCAGAATGCTAAACAACTTTAAAAATGAGCTCATTTCTTGGCACGTAAGGTTAGAAAATAATAGGCCACAGAAACACGTAGTAACGGCTTCACAAACAAGCGTGTTTCCACGGCAGAAAGAGGATACAGCGACAGAGGAACGGTGTTTCTATGCTCTCCGTGCCGATATGTTATAAGGAGGACAGTTAGTGAAGTGACCTCAGTTGAGTGACTGAGTTAGTCAGTTAGAGGACTGCTGAGGTTCAGTCGTGAGCTGTCGCTGTGAGAAGTTGGCAACTGAGGCCCCGGGACAGTTCGGAACGCAGACGAAGGGGAACGGCCCCCGTTGGGAGCCGCTAACAAGCAACGACAATGAAGACGTGAATGTGGACACTAGTGTGTGTGGAATAGTGAATTGTAAATCGTAGTCGTGCACTGTATGAAAGAGCACAATAAATCCGATCATCAATCCAAAACCACGTATAATCACTCCATACACATGATAATATGCTATAAAATCGTAAGGTTTGAGGTTCTCACAGCGATGGTTATGAAGAGTTCTATCTTTTGAGATATAACGCCGTGTAATCAGTTGAAAAGTCAACCGACGTTTCGGAGGAACAAGTCGCCTCCATCTTCAGAGTCGAAGAATATGCATAGCAAAGCCTACTTGCCACCAGATTTCACGCTGTTTCTTGCTTGGCTTATTCATCGATCCTGAAAATAGAAGTGACATGTTCTTGTAAAACGTCGATTGACTTCACGGCGTTGTATCTCAGAAGATAGATCTCTTCATGCTATGAGATCTGTCAACAAAAGTCAATGCGTAATATTGTGCTACAGCTTCCTGCTGCAGTGTGTTCACTAAATTATCACTCGCACTTCGCGCCGTCCCTGTGCAACTTCCTCCATGTATGACGTAATACATTTCACACTTCAGTAGCATTCCTCTCTGTTCCTATTATTCGAACGCTACATGTTTCGGCTCTAACTGGCTGCCATCATTCGGTATACAGATTATAGAGGAAACCCTATGCCTCCTTGTCGCATTGCTGTACTTTGCATTTTAAAGTTGTGAATTATTTATAAATTTTTCAAATTATTTTTAAAAATCTCGTGTTATCATTATTTTGTTGTATTTGCGTGTTGTGGGTCTCGTGTATCTGTAGTACAACTTAATTGTAACGTGTATACCCGTTGCTAGGCAACTGCTTGATAAACACATTCCTGCGACGAGTACTTCTGTTGATGCCGCGGCTCGGTAAACATGCCTTCGCAACAATAGAGGAAGCGGTGTTTTCTGTGTGGTCCGCTCCACGTATTCTGACACGTGTTTTCTATAGGTCGGTGACTTTGAACAAGAGGGATTAGAGAATTAGCATTCGAGAACTAGGTCGAGTTCTGGAGGGTCGGCAGTCCAAGTTGATTGAACAAGAAATGGCAAGAAGACTTCAGGGTGATTTGAAATGATAGTTCCTACGATAAAACCGTTGCCAGCGGACGGATAGCATGTTCTGGTTATTTGTGAAGTGGGTAGATTAATGATAGCGCTATAATTGACTGTGATTAAGAGAGATTGTGAAATAAAGGTGACAGTAAATCGAATCCAAAACTCGTTATTATTAGTCACGGAACGCCGGACACGTGATAATATGATGATGGCCACATGGGCTATCAAGTATTCAATTAATAAGAAGAGACGAATGCTTTTGGAGTGTGAATGTTAATACATCGACGAATTTTCATAGGAACGGTGTTGAAATGCGAGTGTCAATTTTTGGTTTCTGTCTTGTTTCGCAGTGCATAGGGGACGTTGGCCCGAGGTTCCCGGTTTTTATTTCGTAGGGAACTGAAAGCAAGAACTGCGGACATTACCTTGAAATGCTGTTGAGCACTTGACTTTCCGAGGATTGCGTGTCGTGTATGCTGAAAGGCCATATATATTAACGCTTTGGATCGTGAGTTACGTAACAGTCACGTACATCTCGCGCACGGCACATGCTTTCGGAATTCGGCGTCTGTAGTCCAGAGAAGTAACAACAATTCAGTTGAGTTATCATTCGGCGTTAAGGAGGCCGCAGAATGGTACGTTGCAGAATTTAAACAAAACTAATTACGTGAGAATAATTTCCTTCTGTATGATCTGAGGCGCCGGTCACGGTATCCGAGAGGTCTAAAGCATATACTGTCTTCGCTCGGAAGCTGGGATCATGGGTTCGAATTCCACACAAGGCAGGAATGTGTATGTGTATGTGTTTATTCTGTGTTTGTCTTGTCTTGTGTTTAGTGGCCTTGCGACGGGCTTATCACCCGCCCAAGAGTCCTATCGAAGGCGTATAGGATTAAGAAACTATAAAGCGCCCGGAGTCAAACAAAGGACTGCAGAGGAGTGTGTGTTTTGTTTCTTCCTTTTGCTCACTCTTGAATTATGATTGGCTTTTGGGCTGCTGAGCAAGAAAAATAATTAAATAACGAATTGAATTATTATCATAATCACAGTGCAGTGCTAGTGGTGGCAGTAGCAGCAATTGCAGCATAAGAATTCGCAGTAGTAACAGCGACCCAAAAGTAGGAAATTGCTTGGCGGCGCTGTCAGTAGTACAAGATTTCATAGCGTAGAATGACAGGATAATTAATGAATGGGGGTGTGAAGGCGGCTGTTGTTTAATTTCAGATGCTGTCAAGTTCAAGATCATAGTTGAGTAATGTCGATAACTTAGCTACCTACAGTATCATACAATAGACCCTGTCACATCTGAGTTTCTACGCGTAATGCTCCCCCGGGATTCCTTTCGATACTAGAATTCGCGGTCTGTTACACCATCCTGGAATGAGGGAAGGGTTAGACTCTAACCCAACCCTCTAACTCTGCTGTCCAACGTTCTTATGTACTTGGGTACAATTCGCTGATGCCTATGGAGGTGCGGGCGCCACCACACACTGCTACTTCTACTACTACTACTACTACTACTACTACTACTACTACTGCTACTACTACTTCTACTACTACTACTACTACTACTACTATCGCCAGGCTTCAGGCTTCTTAGTAGTCTCAAACCTTCGTGTCCTGTTACCACATATTTAGTGATTAGAGAANGAAAATATTTAACAGTTCTCAGACTTAAAAAATGTCTCTTGTCTTACAATTTGAATTAATATTAAAAATCGGCTCAATTATATGTGGTTACGGAGGGCGCCAGAAAAATATACCGCGGGCGCCGCGTTGGACTCTAACCGTTAGAGTATACTATCAGTAGATATTCTGGAGCCGGAATAACTCAGTCAGTACAGCGATGCCCGGGGTTCGATTCCCAGCAAGGAAAAGAAGTTTCTCGCTACCCCACAGGGCCCAGACCGTCTCTAGGGACCGCCCAGCCTCCTATCCAATGGGTACTTGGAGGTCTTTCCCCTGGAGTAAGATGACCAGAGCTTGTAGCTGACCACCCACCTGCATAGACTGTTGAGGTCAAGAATGGTGGAGCCATACTTACACCCCCATACGTCTTTATGGCGTGCTGCTTAATTAATTAGTAACAGGACAACTTTATTTTCTATAGAAGATGTGAGAGACACTTTTCATAAATTTGGGGTGGGAAATATCTTTTTTCGAAGGTTAGATAAGGTTAATATGAAAGTCAAGACGTTAAAGTACTATGGAGAGTCAGTGAATAGGTCACAAATGGCTATAAAACGTAAAACATGACATTCGAAGCTGAGGGGAAGACATTTATTTCTCGACATCTCCACCAACATCGATACACTTGTCTCATCGCTTTACCAGTGCGTCGAAACCCGCAGCATAGAAATCTTTTGACTGTTGTCTCAGCCACTTCCGCACCTCGGTTTCACTCCACAAGCACGGTCGCCATTTTGACTACTGAAACCAGCCTCTGAATATGCCCATGCACGCCTGCTACCTAGACTGTCTCGAAGCTGAACTGTGCTGCTACCTAGCGATACATATAGAAACACTGTTACTTCCATTACATCTGTTACTTCTATTTGTGACCTATTTACTGACTCTACCTTGTAAGACGTGAGGTTGTTACAGCTGTGGTTGTAAAGAGTTCTCTTCTGGGATATAACTCCGTGCAGTCCGTTGAAAGTCAACCGACGTTTCGAAGTAACATCACAGGGAATCTGCTTGCTACCTGCTTTTGCTTTCACTTTGGTTTCCTTCTTGGCTTGTTCTTCGACCTTGAAGATGGATGAACCATGTTCCTCCGAAACGTCACTTAAACTTCAACGAGCTACACGACGTTGAATTACAGAAGACAGAATTCTAGATATTCAAATTGTTGAGAATAATGGCTTAAGATGAAGACCGCGGGATTTTGATATTTTGCTTATTTAACAGTTCTGTCTCCTGGGCATATGACGCCGTGTAGCCCGTTCAAAGTCTCAGCGGAGTACACGGCATCATATCCCAGAAAGTAGAGTGCTCATAAGCCCCACTGTGAGAACCTCAGACTGTCATCAGACTCTCAGCTCCTCAAGGAGCGCAAGGAACTGAAATTACCCTCTGGGGAAACAGTGAGCTGCAGTAAGTACCCAGGTCACGTGAACGATAATGCCGCCGCAGAAATGTCGAAACTGCCGACGTTCTCTGTCCCATCTCTTGAAGGACACGCTCGCTGGATGCCGCATACCTGTGGGCAACGAATTTCAGTGGCTAACAGGTGTAACAGCTGGAGCCGGCGTGGCGCAGTCGGTGTAGCGACTGGCTACGGTCTGAGGCCTGTAGGGTCAAGAATTTTATCTTCTCCAAGTCGTGCAGACCGGCTCTGGGCCCCACCCAGCCTCCTATCCAATGGGTACGGGGGGCTCTTTCCTCAGGGCGTGAAGCTGACCACTCCAACTAGTGCCGAGGTCAAGAAAAAATGGGCCTATACATCCACTCCCCCATACGTCTTCATGGTGTACTGCTTAATTAGTTAAGGAACAACTTTACCTTAACAGACATAACGTAAGTGATTAAATGTTAATGGGGAAATCGAATTTTGCCTATGAACACTGATTTAAATACAGGGTGTTTCACGACTGTAGGGCATAACTGCAGGAGGTGATTTCCTAGGTCTTTGTGATCAAAAAAGTTCATATAAACATGTGTCCGATTTTGGACGGTTACGGAGTTATGACCGTTTTTTCATTCCCGTACACGCTCTCGTGTGAACCGCGTCTGTCAGCTGACGGGTCGCTATCTTTAGCGAGCTACAGACAGAGCGTTCTCGTTATCTCGACACTTGAGAGCTACCTAAGTCGGTGGGTTGGTATGTCCGGCGCGGTTCACAACCGAGCGGCAGCCTGTGTTGCGGACGGCGGTGGCATTTTCGAAAATCAGCTTTAAGCACCAATCAATTCAAATTAAAGGTAATTTCACGAAATTAACTTTACATTCGTACTTTAAATGTATCATGTATTATGCTGGTTTATTATTTTGTTCCGTTTATTGGCAATAATCGTTACCTTCTATTCTGAGTTTAAAACGGTCATAACTCCGTAACCGTCCAAAATCGGACACACGTTTATATGAACTTTTTTGATCACAAAGACCTAGGAAATCACCTCCTGCAGTTATGCCCTAAAGTCGTGAAACACCCTGTATAAGTGTATAAAACTAAATAAGTGACTTCATGAGACAGGTTCCTTCTTGAGAGCCTGAATTTTATTAAACCCAAAGGAAAAGTTGAATGTGTGAATTAGATTCATCTTTAGCCAATACAGTCGATCTGTTATAAGGGATATGAGAGTAAAGGCAGCCGGAAGGTTTAGCTGATACTGTTACTGTTAGCTACACACTTACAGAGAGACGAAATCCTAAACACGGTTTGTGTATGGATACGGTTCGTCACTCAGATGTTCTCTCTTAATGACAAACTAACCTCTACTTGTCACGGTTTGGCCTGGTGTGGAGGAAATGTCACTACCAAGATTCATGTTATATTGTATTTGGTTTAAGATTAGGATGTGTTTTGCTTTCTATTTGTTCATTTAGTTGACACATAGAATTAAATAATGAAATTGTGTAGGAATGTGGCAGCATGTAGTCTGTCATATCATTTGCTGACGTTTCGGATGAATGTTCTGTGTCATAATTAGGGTATGAGGTGGATGTCGAAATGATCTAACAGACTACACGGCGTCACATCTAAGAGGACAGTAATCTTCATATCCACCGTCTTAAGGACCTCAGATGTAAAAATTAAGTCCTATTTGAACACAGTAAAATTTATAGCCCTAAGTTATGAAGAAATAGATGTCAGTAAGGGTAAAGGCGCCGGTCACGGTAGCCGAGCGGTCTAAGGCGTGCACTGTCTTCGCTCGCTCGGAAGCCGGGATCGTGGGTTCGAATCCCACTCAGGGCATTGATGTTTGGTGCGTTTTTCTGTGTCTAAGATCTAGAAAAACCGAAATGAACGGAGAAGTTCATGGAGGTAGGCCTAGGCCCACTAGGGCTGTAGTGCCAAGGGGAAAAGAAAAAGGCAAAGGTAAAGTTGTCCCTGTGCTTAATTAACTAAGCACTAAGTCGTGAAACACATTCGGTGAAGTGGAGTTACGTGTATAACTCTACCATTCTTTGTGTGGTCACTAAATGGAGGTGAGTGGTCAGCTTCACGAACCGGCCGCTTTACCCTCGGGGGAAGAACTGAGAGAACGGATGAGGCCCAGAGACCGTGTGGACTCCATGGAATAGAGAAGAATTACTTGCCACTGCCGGGAATTGAACCCCCGCCTTCCAAACCGTAGCCCGTCGTTGTATTGTACTGAGAGAAATATTAAATGTATTACACTAGTGTAACAAAACACTTAGATATGTACTTCTGTTAAGTGCACATTCACGATAAAGTGTCAGTAAAAAGTAAAGCTATCCCTGTAACAGGCCGTGGAGGCCCATAGCGTTGTGAGATGTCGAGGTTCCCATATTTTCTAGACAATCAATTCATAGATGGCGGTAAGGTTGTCAGCCTTACGCGCCGGCCGCCCTATACACCCAAGAATATTACAAGAATACTCCTGGTACTCATTTCTGTTAGAGGCTGAGTCGACCCCAGGGCCACAGTGCGGCTGGAAGGATTAGGTGAATTGAAAAAATCCACTTCAGAGGGACTTGAACCCGCGACCTTCCGGCTTGTAGCATAGTGCCTCAACCAACTACACTACCGCGTGCCCCGATAAAAGTGTGTCTTTAAAAATTTAGGATTAGAGAAATATACATGAAATTCACCTGTGGGTATTGGGTATCCATTGATAATTCTTCGGTCACGCTGATGATAGCTCGTCTGGACGCAGATGTAGCACATTGGCAGAAACAGAAAAACCTGCCAGTACATGACGAGCGTGTTGTACGTCTGTGATCACAGCTGTAGCAACAGATCTGCGAATAAGTGTGCCCCTTTCCATCCCATTACCCTGCCAAAATACAACGCTTACAGCCTTTTGTTCTCTACTAAACTGTCGCAGTTACGTGCACTGACATGTTTAGGGTTTAAGGTCAAGGATGCTGCTCTCAGACCTAAGTTACTCCTCCGTAGGATTGTTTGCAGCGGAGACTGTTTAACCTTCACACTGACAAACATGCCTCAAAATTACCCAGTATACAGGATGTTCATTAACACTCCAGCTCTTTGAGTGAGGACTCATTCTATTACTCGGAGAAATATTCATAAAATTATTGTGTTATGGACATCATTCATTACCCTGTTATTTATTTAAAACAACGTTTCGGACACTGGATTGTGTCTCCGTCTTCAGGTAAAAACCTACTCAGTTTGAACCAATCGATAGGGCTAGTTCCTGTCGCCGGAGATAGGCTGCAGTTGAGTAGTGTATTTTACATGAAAATGGAGACAGAATCCAGTCTCCGAAACGCTGTTTTAAAGAAAAAAACGAACACAATGACTATTAATATAACACCGTCATAAACTTTTAGAAGAATTCGTAGTTGATACGCGAAATTTAAACTGGTATCCGGAGTTCAAATTCTGCTCAGGACAAGGATTTTTTTTTTCCTGTGGCGCTACAGCCCCAATTTGGTCCTAGGCCTACCTCCATGAAACCCTCCGTTTCACTTCGGTTTACTAGATCTTAAAGATTCGGTAGGACTCCTTGAGCGGGTGATCAGCTCGTCGCAAGGCCTCTACCTGTACAAAAACACAGAAAAACGCACATACGCAAACACTAAACATCCATGCCCTGAGTAAGATTCGAACCCACGATCCCGGCTTCCGAGCGAGCGAAGACAGTGCATGCCTTAGACCGCTCGGCTACCGTGACCGGCTCAGGACAAGGATACGTATTCGAAATTTCCTGTGTAGGAAGAGACATTCAAAACAGAAATGAAGCTTTGGGTTCCACAAAATATTGGGAAATTACTGGGTAGCTGAGCGACTGGGCTGCTTCCCCAGAAGTGCTTAGTACTATGGGTTGGGTTAGTTAGTTTGGTATGTAGAGACACTGCTATGGGCCGATCTCTTGCCCGAAATTCTACCAGACACTGATATATATATAACTGCCTGTCTGTCAATAGGATCACAGATAATACACCGATAACACCATAACTCTCCATTGATCACGATCTTGTGCCACTTTTCCATCCATCTTCTCACCACATAACCTGTTTCCCTAAAGGCCCGTCCACATTACTCGTGCTCCCCAGGCTTGTGCTCGTCGGGAGACTCTTCTGGCTTTTACTTGTGCCCGTAAATCTTCGTCCACACTACTTCAGTTGCTCGCCAGGCCTCGGCACGTGAGGAGCCGTATATTTACTCGTAGCGTGTATAGGCTGTAGTCGTATTTTAATTTATTGGTTATAGTTTTTAAATTAAAAATTAAAAATTTGCTTGTCTCGTGACTTGTCATATCGTCCACATTACTCGCGAGTTCTGCTAGTCACACGAGCACGAGTAATGTGGACAAGTCTTAAGACACATCTTCATGCACTCCTCATACCGAACAGGTTGGTCTCCAGATAAAGGCTGTAGGCTGTAGGTGCGCTTCCCAGTTGAGTTGAATATTGTGTACAATAGATGCCGTTTAGTTCCTGTACGTTCTTGTATCGAGATGACTAATGAAATTAGGGATACATATACGAGCACACCACAACCGACCGTACTGCGTTTGCTGAATACGCTGGGAAAGGTCAGGAGCTGTATAGGACTAATGTTTACTCGAATGTAAGGATCACAGTGGCCGCGCGGTCTAAGGCATGAAATGTCTTCGCCCGATCAAGACATGGTTATTTTTCTGCGTTTATTCTGTGTTTGTGTCCTGTGTAGGTAGCGGCCTTGCGACGGGCTGATCCCCCCGTCAAAGGAGTCCTACCGTGTGGCTAAGATTAAGGAACTGAAGTGAAAGGAAGTGTTTCATGGATGTCCTCTGGTCCATTAGGCAGGCAGGTCTAGAAATAAAAACAGAGACAACTAAGTATGTGTTGCTGTCTCCTCACTAGGATGCAGGACAAAATCATGATATAAAGATGGCTAACAGATGTTTTGAAAATATGGCAGTGTTCCAGTAGCTGGGAATGACAGTACCAAATCAAAACGGTAATTCAGGAGGAAATTAAGAGGAGATTGAATTCGGGTAACTCTTGCTACTATTCAGCCCAGTAGCTTTTGTCTTCTCGCCTGCTTTCTAAAAACTAAAAAATTAGAATATACAAAACTATAATTTTGCCTGTGGTTCTGTATGGGTGTGAAACTTGGTCTCTGACATTAAGGGAGAAACACAGGCAGAGGGTGTTCGAGAACACGTGTTGAGGAGAACATTTGGGCTGAAGAGAGATGAAGTGACAGGAGGTTGGAGAAAACTGCATAATGAGGAGCTTCATAACTTGTACACTTCTCCAAGTATAATTAGAATGATCAGATCAAGGAGGATGAGATCGGTAGGGCATTTAGGACGAATGGGTAAAAGAGGAGGATATATATAGGATATTCGTCGGAAAGCCAGAAGGAAAGATGCCACTAGACCTAGACGTAGGTGGGTGAATATTCTTAGACAGGATGAGGTGCTATGGACTAGTTTGATCTGGCTCAGGATTAGAACCAGTGGAGGGTTCCTGTGAACATGGTAATGAACGTTCGGGTTCCATAAAATGTTGCCTCAACCAACTACGCTACCGCGTAAGTAAAAGTATCCCTGTAACAGGCCGTGTAAGCCCGTAGGGTTGTGAGACGTTCAGGGTCCACATTCTCTAGACAATCGGCTCATAGATGGCGGTAAGTTTGTCAGCCTTACGGGCCGACAGCCTTTTACCCCCAGGAAGATTCCTGGTACTCATTTCTGGCAGAGGCTGAGTCTACCCGAGGGCCATAGTGCGGCTGGAAGGATTAGGTCAATTGAAAAAATCCACTTCATCGGGATTCTTTCCCGCGACCTTCCGGTTTGTAGCACAGTGCCTCAACCAACTGCTCTACCGCGTGCCCCCGTATGTACATATGTACGAATATAAATGAGACAGCAATTAGTATAATCTGTTTCAAGTGCCCTTTGGCTTGTCTTGAGATAAGGCAGCAGAAACTTGAAGATACCCAACTTCAGTTTTGTGTCGAATCCACCAGTAGCTCCCTTGTCGGCGCGATGTGTGGTCGCAGCATCCGGCAACGTCTAGTCCTGGCCGTAAGTCTCTTTGTAGTTTGAAGAGTTGAGGCTTCTAGGTTCTAACGCCTTCTAACGCTCCCTCGTCGGCGCGATGTGTGGTCGCAGCATGCGGCAACGTCTATTCCTGACCGTAAGTCTCTTTGTAGTTTGAAGAGTTGAGGCTTCTAGGTTCTAACGCCTTCTAACGCTCCCTCGTCGGCGCGATGTGTGGTCGCAGCATGCGGCAACGTCTAGTCATGACCGTAAGTTGAGGCTTCTAGGTTCTAACGCCTTGTACATAGTTCGTAGAGGGCTGGATCGGAAGATAAATCAAGCGAGAAACCAGGACAAGCACGAGAGTGGACCGCTCGTGCGAAATCTGGTCAGTCCAAGTCTGAAACTGCCAGAGACCCAATAGAAAAGAAACCAATTTATCTGTAATTGGTTTGACTGCGCTATCAGTAACTCGAACTATGTGACGCGTAACAAGTTGGTGACGGGGAATAATGAACGGAAAATCGTGTGGAAGGAAGTGATCTGGTCTAATTTATGGTAATATCCCAGCATTTGTCTGGAGAGACTGAATAGAACCACGAAAATGCTCAGTAAACATAGTCTGTACGATTTATAATATTATATTTCAGCATCCCGTTGCATTGAGGCATTATCCTTAGTATCAAAGCACCCGTCAATAATCCAACAATAGTTTGATAAAACATAAAAGACATCTAAAATATGTTGTAAAGTGAGAAGAAACTTATGTAAAACTAGAGACATTTTAATAATTTGAGTATCACTTTTAGTGTATAAGTTATACTTTTAGTATCTTAATGATATTTTATAATTTTAACAACATCGTAGAGTATTAAAGTGGCACTTTTAGTGAGAAATATATTTTAGATGTCTTTATATTTTAAACAAGTATTGTTGCATTATTGACGGGTGTTTTGATAATAAGGATAATAGTCTGTATGATTTTCGAGATTCGAACGGGGTATCTGCTTCTTGCTAGTTTCTTGCTTGGCTTATTCATCGATCCTGAGGATGGAGACATGTTCCCCCGAAACGTCGGTTGCCTTTCAACAGAATACACGGCTCTACATCCCAGAAGATATAACTCTTCATAACCACCGCTGTGAGAACCTCAAGTCTGTACATCTCTGTTCATTGATGATGTATATGCTGATTTTCGACGATGAATCATTAGGTTTGTATGTTCTGCTGACATTCCATGCGTCAGCAGTATTTTATATAAGTTACACGGTCTTTAAAGTCCGTCCATGCAGAGTTTTCCCCCTCATTACGTTACATCTGATTATCTATGCAAGTGGTTCTATATGAGCCCATGTTCTGCATGCTCAGGGACATTTCAAAGTTCAAACATGTAATCATGAAAGGCTTCTGTGGAGTAGACATTCAGAGTTATTCACTTTGTCTTCTTCTTTCTGAGGTCTACAGCCCTCGGTGGGTTCCTTCACAACTAGCCATTCAGTAATTGTAAAGGCTGCGCGGAAAGAGTTTTTTGTGGGATAAGGTCGTCAGCTTTAAGCCTAACCCTTAACCAGTGGAAGTCTTGATTTTGGAGCCCCCTCTGCCCTTCGGAGTTTACAGGCCGTACCAATGTCCAACATATCCGCGTTGCAGTACCCGCTGATAGTTCCTTCTGACATATCTTGGGTTCTGCAGTTACACAGGAGGCACTGCTGCCTTCTGCCTGGCATGTTTATCGACTACGCAGTCTGACTTCCGTCAGTTCCGCCGTACCGAGGGTTTCCCTCTTCACCGTAATCCTGGCAAGGGCCCTTACAAGGTGCTACCATCCGCAGCCGGAGGTGTTACCCCTCTCTCACGCCTCCCCCTTTTCTTGGCTTGTTACAGGAGGAGCTTGGCCTCCCGAACATTGGGCCCCAGTTGGCGGGATTTATTCACAGTGTGGTCCTCAGATTTATGTCACTATATAGTCTTGTAGATGGGAACAGACGTTTCGAAAAATATACTTCAAGGAAATAGGTTACTCCGAATTGTTGGAACCCTCTTACCAGATTTTACCATGTCATAACTCAGAAGACAATATGAATTTGGACCGCAATGAAAACCTGAAAGCTGCTTTCTTCAGAATTGTTTTAGTGACATGATACTTTGTGGAGGAAACGTCAGTTCAGTTACTGCATATCGGTATTTTACAGTCAACTATGAATAAAATTGTGGCGTGTTTAAACAAAACAGTCTCATTGGAGTTGAATGTGTACCTCAGGATTTTACGTAATCCACATAATTTTTAATACGTTTCGTTCAGTAGTTTGCAAATCAAAGATTCCACAAAAAAGAACATAATGATTGATGAGTCCTACGCCTCTTCTTACCAGGCTTAACATTAATACCAGGTGCAGTTTCGCAAGTTCTCATTCTTAGGACATAACACCATAATCCGGACAAAGCGCATGTTATCAACAACGTTTTTCTGCCCTCCACTGATTGTGACTGGCCTCGCACATTCGTAGCCTTTCCTTTGCTTTACACAAATATCGTCATGTTAACTGTCCTTCATTCATATTTTTCTGTAGTTGCCTTAGAATAGTATGACCAGCTACATCTTACACGCCATAATCAACAACACAAAGGAAAAACTCCGTGATTTTAGTCCGCAAGAGAACTATACCGACCGAACGCCCGCCACTTGTCGCGAAGTCAGTGCCAGCTTTATCGGATAAAGGATGTCGCGTGGTCAGCGCAAGGAATTCCCACGGCCTTTAATTTCGGTTTTCTATACCGGAGCTGCTATTTTCTTGAAAATAGTTCTTCAATTATCATCACGAGGCTGAGTGGACCCCGTTCCAGACACACTACTTCTCAGGAAATCTTGTAGCGCCGGGAAGCGAACCCTGACCTCTGGATCTGTAGGCAGGAACTATGACCGCTAGATCACGGAGGCCAAAACCCACCTCGTAGGCCGCCAAAAACAACGACGATTATGTATACCCTGCATCATCGACAGCAAAAACGTCTCTCCAGTCCATACGACTCCATCTTGTCTCTCTAAGATCCATTTTAATATTAGCCACCCACCTACGTTTTGGTCTTCCAAGTGGTCTCTTTCCTACTAGCTTTCCCACTAATATCCTATATGCGTACCACTTCTTTCAATTTTTGCTACATGCCTTGCCCATCTCATCCTCCTTGGCTTGATCATTCTAATTATGCTTGGAGAAGAGTACAAGTTATGAAGCTCAGCATTATGTAGTTTTCTCCAACCTCCTGTCATTTCATCTCTCTTCGGTCCAAATATTCTCCTCAACACCCTGTTCTTAGGCACCCTCAGTAGATGTTCCTGCCTTAATATCAGAGACCAAGTTTCACACCCATACAGATCCGAAGGCAAAATTATAGTTTTGTATATTCTAATTTTTGTTTTTAGACAGCAGACGAGAAGAACTGAATGGTAGGATTACTCGAATTCAGTCTCCTCTTAATTCCCTCCTGAATGAAATTCTGATTTCTCGACATGAACTTTGGTACGTGCAATGTAAGAAGTCTTTATAGGGTAGGTTCGGTCACGACAGTTGCGAAAGAGATATCAATAAGTTTGATTTAATGGGAGTACAGGAGGTCAGATGGAAGAGCAGTGGCACCGAGCCACTTTTCTTTGGAAAGGGGAGTGAGAATCATGAGAACGTTATAGCCAATAGATTTTTATTATGTTAGTCGCTGCAGTGGCTCCTTTTGCTGCTACTGGTGGTGGCTCGGAGTCATGGCGCCAGGATCCTAGGCGTGTTGCCATTTGCGGCCCCGAGCCACATGATCATCCACAGAGGTCTAATGCTGGAACTTGCCAACAGAGGACATGAGGTCACTGAAGTCACTCCATTTCCAGAAAGTAAACCCGTCCCCAACTACACAAACATAGCAGTGAATGCAGATTTGGCACGAATCACAGGAGGACATGGTAAGAGAAAACAGCAGAAAATAATGCCAAAATTTTGAAATAATTTTCTACGTTTACATCTCTTAAAATTTTGTTTTCCTCTTCTTTGTCTTGTTAATTTATTGCGGATAAAATCATAGACAAAGCGAACGGTTAAGTACTACTCTGTACACATATTCGTAGGTTTACTCTGAGGACCCGATTTAAGAGGGAGGTACCGAGGTTCCTGCCCCGGGGCCTTCGAGACATAGAAACAGAATCCGCAGATTTTGCCGAGATATTTACTTCTCTGAAATCACGAAAAGTTAATCTCTAATTTTAGTTATTATAAGAGAAGAATAAGAAGAGAAGGAATTCTTATAACACAATTTTACTGTTACTGAAGGGAACCTCAATATTTGCTATAAAAACCTCAGAATCGACGTATAGAAATGCGATAACAACTCTCAATAACAAACGACAAAATTACTTATAAGAGTACATAAATTTAAGCAGTTATCAACACTGAAGTTGCATTCAGCTTCTGTTATGAATTAATTAAACTAAATGATTTAAATTATAAAATTCAGCTGTGGCCTGTATAGCAATATCTTGTAAGTTCGGCTGTAAAGTATTTTAATTTGTACTAATGAATATTTGTATCTTTACAGTTCCAGAAAATTTGTTCAATTTGAAATCACTGGGGATCTTCGAGTTGGCGCACCGGATGTGGCACATGGGCGAGGCGTTGTGTGATCACGTATTACAGGAAGAAGACATTCAGAAACTGATCCATTCCAAAGATCTGCATTTTGATCTTGTCATCGTTGAAGCCTTCGCAAACGAGTGTTTCTTGGGATTCGCTCAGAAATTCAATGCTCCCATTATACAGATTTGCCCCTACGCAGGTGGAAATTTCATGGGAGACTGGGTAGGAAGTCCGAACCCATATTCATACGTCCCCGATGAATTCCTCGAGTACAAAGACAAGATGAACTTCTGGGAGAGAGTGTACAATACAGTTGTTAGTACACTGAAACACGTGGGAAGGCAACTGATTCACGTGCCGAAACAGAATGCTGTTATGCAGAGATATTTCAACTATACAGATAACTTGCCACCTGTATGGGAGCTGGAATATAAAACGTCACTAGTTTTTTTGAACACCCACTACAGCCTGAGCTATCCGAAGCCGCTCACGCCTAACTACGTGCAGGTTGGCGGAATGCACGTGAAACCTCCGAAGAAACTTCCGCAGGTGAGGCACCTGAAGTTAATGTAGATGTTTGTAAAATAGCAATATCCGTTGTATGTTTACATTGTATCATATTGACAGTATTATCACTTATTGTTGTGTTCTGCACGTAGATGTTGGGCCTTTTTAATAGTCCCTCGCTTTCAAGTTTGTTCTCTATATACCTTAAGACCACATGCACCGACAAAGTGCCACATTCATCCTATAATTGCCTCTATGAAATTCCATCCTCTTAAGAAGATGACAGTTGCTCAGCTGGTCAAGAAATTCTGTTCCTTTTATGGACACCGAATGGCCATAACTTCTTTTGCAAAATTCTTGATAAACCTAGTTCACTGCGTCTCGCTCTATTTCCTTAAACCTCATTTTAATATTGTGGTGTGTAGACACATTGTTAAGCAGTGACTCTCTAAACAGCGGCTGTTGTTAAGTAACGCCCCGTAACATACACGCCACCAACAATATAACGACAGGTTTATGCAACCCATTTCTAAGTAACGGATCGGTAAATACACATACAACAATAGGGGTATTATTGTTGGAAACGATGTCTTCTGTTCGGTCCGTGCAAAGTGGTTATAAAGAATAGTTCAGTTGAGAATCGTCAGTCGAGTTCCGGAGGTCGAAGTGAGCGGTTAGTCGAGATTTTGACTCTGCAAGGGAGGCTGATATATGACGACTCTATGAGTTCAGGTATGAAGTGTTAACCAGCGGGCAACGGGGTGACCACGGAAGCTGAAGAATATCAGCTGTGTTAAATCTGTTGCCAGGAAACGGCTAGTGGAGACTGGAATAGACTGAGGACTCTAGTCTCTGTGTATCAGTGACCTGTAAAGTGTAGTTCATAGTGGTGTATACCACTGGCTGATAAATCCAATTCACCAATCCATACCCCGTCTGTAGTCACACATTCCTAAATACGTGACAGTACTATCATCTCATATTACGTTGGATCCTCCAAATGATCTCGTCCTTTAGCGTCATTCGGCTAAAGTTTTCTGCGTGTCTGTCATCTCTCCCATACGTATCCTAGCCTTGACAACGAGATCAAGGAATCAGGACACGCTGTATCTATTTCCCTGAATTTATTTGAAATGGATTCTTTGGGAATCAGCTTGAAGATATGATATCGAAACCTCTCTACATGTGTTCCTGGACTCTTAAATGGCTTACACATTAGTGATTATGTTGCAAGTTAAATGACATTGTACCAAACATTGAACCAAAGGATTCATTCATTCATCAGTAATCTGTCAGACGACAGGTCCACAATCTCTTCCAAAACAGTTCCTCCACTTAATGCGATCTTCAGTTTTTTGAAAGAGACTATCCAGGAAAAGTGATAATGTGGTAGTTTTTCCATTTGCTTTCCACATCGCAGTACAACAGCCGTTCAAACCACTCTGGTCACGCCTGTTGCTATACGAACTTGAACCATCTCGAGCATCATTTGCTCTGTGCTTCAAGTCGCTGCTGATGACGCTGCTTCCGGCATCAGTTTTTGGTGTCTCTCTTCGTCTGATGCCCAACCTTTGACCTGTCCAGCAAGGGAGGCCCTGCCAGTAGCTACGCTGCCGCTGGTATAGCTCTCAGGGTACTTAGCATACTCAAACCCCCTCACCACGATAAGGCGAGACACCAACGAGGGGGCAAAGGATTCAGAGATGTAAGAATTTCAGGTTTAGAAAGTTCTTGTGCCATATCACGTCAATAACTCCTGGAAATACTAAGTGCCTCAACTGTTTCATTAAGTTTTTATGAAGCCAACTGAAAACCCCAAAAATGAGATGATTTGATGAAATGCGATTGACATATCATGATCACGTTCTACGAGTCATATTATCCCTTAACTTTATTACTGATACACGAGTTAATAATATAAGCCGTGCGAAAGTGAACAGAGTTAAAGATAAAGTTATCACCGTGCTTAATTAGCTAAGCATTATGCAATAAAGGCGTATGGGGAAAGGAGATATAGCTCCATATTTTTTTACTTCGGCACCAGATGAAGGCATAAAGTTAACGGATGTAGGAGGAAATTGCTTTGGGAAAGCGCGCTGAATTACTATTGAGGGAGAGGCTCGGAAAGAGAATGATTATAATATGCGATAATTTAGTTTACAAGTTTTATTATTATAATATTGTTATTACAATTTTATCTTCATCACTCAGATGTTATAAATTGCCTTGTTTTTTACTTTGTGTATGTCTGTTTCCTTACTTTGACTCGTGCTCGCTTTGTAATTGGCCCTTGGGCTCCTGAGTTAGCACACAAATAAGAATTGAATTATTATTATTATTATTATTATTATTATTATTATTATTATTATTATTATTATTATTATTATCATTATTATTATGCACTGTATTATCAAAGTAAGCAGTCTGTATACCCGCATTCTTTTCTATAGGAGTTGCAGAAATACCTTGACGAAGCTTCCGACGGAGTGATCTATTTCAGCATGGGCTCAAACCTCAAAAGCTCTCAAATGCCTGACTCCATGATAAATGCTTTTGTGGAAGCCTTCTCCAAGTTGAAGCAACGGATATTATGGAAATGGGAGACAGACACGTTGCCAGGGCAACCAAAAAATGTGAAGCTCGGAAAATGGCTGCCTCAGTCCGACATTCTTGGTGAGCGTCTCATGCCCTCATTTTCTCTGCTGTTGGCCGTAGTGTGGTTTCATTATGGTATAAATTAAATTGAAATTAAAAACCAAAAAGTAAAACGTTTGTAAAGGTTTATTGAAATAAAGAGCGCAAAATTAATAAAACTATCCCTCTTCACTGTTATAATTAGAATTATCAAGTCAAGTAGGATGAGGTGGGCAGGGATGTAGCACGAATGGGGAGAAGAGGAATGCATATAGGATATTAGTGAGAAAGCCAGAAGGAAAGAAACCACTGGGAAGACCAAGGAGTAGGTGGGTGGAAAATATTAAAATGGATCTTAGACATATACGATCATGGTAGGAACCAGTGGAGGGCTCTTGTGAACACGGCAGTGAACTTTTGGGTTCCATAAAATGCTGGGAAATTCTTGAGTAGCTGCAGAATTGGCGGGTCCTCAAGAAGGGCTCAGCTCCATGAGTAAGTAAGTAAGTAAGTAAGTAAGTAAGTAAGTAACTCTTCATTGTAATGATAACTTCAAATGTGTTTCTCTGTAGAATTTTAAATTTCAAATTTTAAGCACTTCCTTAATATTGCACTCTTTTAATGGTTCCTCGCAGCTCATCCCAACGTTCGACTCTTCATCACTCACGGCGGACTTCTGAGCACACTTGAAACCATCAGCCGGGGAGTTCCCCTAATTGGGATCCCAGTCTTCGCTGATCAGTTTCTGAATACACGAAGGGCTGTGTCGTCAGGCTACGGAATTCAGATCAATTTAAATAACATCACATCAGAATCCTTAACGTGGGCTATCCAAGAAATCATTGAATCACCAAAGTATGTTCTGCACTCTTAATTAATTGTAATTATTTAATGTAAGTGTCCTTTAAGTTCTTGGAATAGTACATACTTGTCATCCAGAACGTACGGTAGTTTTATTTTCACATGATCATACGTAGTTTCCGTAGGGTTTTCCAAACCTTTTGTGTGATCTCCGTGACAACGCCTTAAATTACGACACAAAATCTGTTCACAATGTTTCAGTTTATATTTGTTTGTTGAGAAATGACCATAACTGACGCCTTCCTTATTGCCAATATCGTTATCCGTACAGATGTCACCTGAAGGTCGCGGCATATTCTGCTTAGTTTTCGGCAGGTCGCGGTTTCATATCTTGGGCTTGCAGACCGTTGTCGTCACTAAAATGTCTGTGACTTTATCAGTTCATCCAGGCAGATGTCCTTGCAGTACTTCAAATTAGGTTATGAACACTTTCCTACATATCCTTTTCAATTAATTTTTCATTTCTCATCTAATAATTAAACGCTGTATAATGCCGTATGCCATATGGGGGCATGCGGTAGCGTAGTTGGTTGAGGCAATATGCTACACACTGAAAGGTTGCGGGTTCAAGTCCCGATGGGGTCAGTGGATTCTTTTCAATTGACCTAATCCTTCCAGCCGCACTATGGCCCTGGGGTCGACTCAGCTTCTAACAGAAATGAGTACCAGGAATATTCTTGGGGGTAAATGGCGGCCGGCGCGTAGGGCTGACAGCCTTGCCGCCATCTATGGGCCAGTTGTCCAGAAAATGTGGGAACCTCAACATGTCACAACCCTATGGGCCTCCACGGCCTGTTACAAGGATACCTTTACTTTACTTTTTTTATAATGCCAGATGGGCTGACCAGGTAAATTACACGGTCCGAAAAGCCTGGAGGGCACTACATTTCGTAATGCGTATTGTAAAAAGGGGTAATAAAAATACCAAAAGTTTAGCCTACACGTCGCTAGTACGTCCCATTCTCGAATATGGGGCGGCGTGCTGGGATCCATACAGGGAATGTCAGATCACTGCTTTAGACCGCGTTCAAAATAAAGCTGCTAAATTTGCCCATTATACAGGTGGCTCGGTCTGGGAATCTTTGGCGCAGCGTAGGATGATAGCACGGATGTGCTCACTTTATAAAGCGTATAACGGTGATAGGGCGTGGAAAGATATAGGGGACAGATTGCAGGCGCCACGCTACGTGAGTAGAGTCGATCACCTTAGGAAAATAAGAGTCAGAAAAATAAGAACAGATGTCGGGAAGTTTTCCTTTGTGAACAGGACCATTGCTGACTGGAACCAGTTACCTGAAGGGGTGATTGGGACTCACCCCGTTAAAGCGCATATATTTAGAAAGAAGGTTAGGAAAGCAAAGTCAGTAGAGCAAGTGAAGTGTACTTGTATTAGGTCATTGTACTTGTACTGTACTGTGAATTTTCTTGAGACGTATGTGATGTATCTTTGTTGAATGTATGTCCGTTTTTGTAAACACTGCCACCGGGCATAAGCCCAATTGCAGTAAATAAGTAAATATATATAATATATATAGTATGATCTATGAACATCGCTAAATAAGTTAAGACTAATTAAATAAATAAATTTGTCGATATTAACGTCATGATTACCGTCATCAGTCTCATCATAACCGCATCTTCTTTTATGGCCTCAGATCCATTTGGGAGTTACTGACGAAAAATAAACGCTGTGGCTTTAAACATGGACTCCTGTCGTGAATCCATGTAGTTATATCTACCATGTGATATAGTTTTCTCCATATCTAAAATTAATAGAAAATACTGGGACTATTCCTAACTTCATTGATTGCTATGTTAACAAGTAAGTGAAAAGTGTATTTGAAATTAGTAATACATATTTGCATTATTTAGAGATATTTTGCAGGTTATAAACCTGCTGAAAATATCATGAATGATTGTTTCATATTTCAGAATTAATTCTATGTTGCTTTCACAGGTACCGTGAGAACGTCCAGCGTCTGTCCCGAATCTACCGGGACCAGCCACTCACACCGCTGGAGCAGGCCGTATTCTGGACAGAGTACGTGATCAGACACAAGGGAGCTCCTCACATGCGCTCCGCTGTACTCGATCTCGCTTGGTACCAGTACTTCCTGCTAGATGTCATCGCTGTGTTGGCCCTAGCTGTCGGTGCCGTTCTCTTCTTCCTGTTGCTGGTGTTAAAGGTTGTATTAAGGAAAGTGTTCGGCGGAAAATCACGCGAAAAAGACAGCACATCGAGAAGAAAGAAACAAAACTAAATGAATGTCAAAACGTTCATTTGTCGGTTCCTGACAAAATTTATATAATGTGGATTTGTAGACCCCAGAATGTAGGACAGTAATATGATTATGGTTTCTTGTATGATTAATTTGTAGTGAAGGCTTAATCGGCTTCACGTTTTCATGTTACCATTTGTGCTACTAATATTTCGCTGAAGTGGTAACAGTCCTAACTTATATTCTAGAGGTGCTTGTTTTGTTTCTCGATCGGGACACCGATTATCCTTAGTGATGTTTCTGCTGGTTTTCCTCAGTTCCTCCATGAGAATTCCAGAGTAGTATCTCAAATTAAAGCACGATCTCTCTCTTCCACATGATTTCCAATTCTCTATTTACTGACCCTAATTTTCGCCCTTATATAAGAGCGTTGTTTAATAAATCATAGACAGAAACAATTAAATAAATTAAAAATTCTTCTCTTTCTATTTCATTGACCTCCTCTTCCTGTATAGTATGTGGTGTGTTCTTGTGGCAGAAGTAACATAAAAACACTTTTACACTTGCATGTCCGTAAAATATGTGGTACAAGTGTCTGTCTGTTTTAGCATGATAAGACATAAACTGTCTTCTTCCACGCAAAGTTCAAAAGGGGCAGGACTGATATAATCTAATTACTGCTTCTCCCGTGTGTAGTAGGTCAACGCCGAAACTAGTGGGGTATTTACGTTTGTTTCGTTCCATTTATGGTCACGAGTAAATTAGAAACAGAATTGACCTGATCAATAATTTTAACGTGTTTGATATTATTCACAAGTTTCCAGAAGACTGTATTAGTTCAGGTAGTATAATTTGTTATTGGTTTATTTGTGTATTTATTTATTCATTTATTTACTGTTTATTAGGTTGATTAGTGAATAACATTGCGAAGGGTGTGAGTGCAGTCGTTGCTTAATTTCCGATGATTTCCTGTGATTTGCCTGGAGGGACTGAGGAATTCCACGAAAAATCAGCCAGTTTCTGGGCCTAGATTCTAACCCGGAGAACACACGAGTGAGGGCGTTTGAGAGCAGGGCATTGAGTGGTATATTTGGATCACAGAGGAAAATAACAGGAGGCGGGAGAAAACTCTATAACGAGGAACATCATGAACGTTAGTCCTCGCCTAATATGTTATTAAAATGATCTATCCAAGAGCATAAGGTAGGCAGGTCATGTAGCAAGAATGAGAACAGGTGCGCATGAAAGGGGTTGGCAGGAAACCTTGATGGAAAGGGAGCACAAAGAAAACTTATGAGTAAATTGTATGATAATATTAAAACGAATTTTAGAAAAATATTGGGGGTATTGTTCGGATCATTTGACTTGTGATAGAGACAGTCGAATGACTCTTGTGAATAGGTCAGTGATCCTTCGGGTTGCATAATATGTTGGGCGTTTCTTGTGTGACTGATCAACTGATGGCATCTCAAGAGGAACTCATCTCCGTGGAATTAGTTCATCTGCTTTAATTAAGTTAACTTGGGACTGGGAGATAAGCGAAAATAATAACACATTTAAAATTCTAAATGACAACCCATGAATTAAATCAGTTTTGTTTATTGAAGAAGTTACATTGATATCTCTGGGCTAAAGTTGATGTTCATATAATGCGTAGACGCTCATGGCTTCAGCTTTCTGCTCTCTACCGCGTATCTAATGCATAATAATCCAAAGATACTGTAAAATATGAGACTGAAAAATGTCGAACGGAAAGTGTAAAATAAATAATTACCTTAAGGTACATCTTTATGTTTTTGTAGAAATATAATCGTTGCGCTGACCACGCGGCACCCTCTATCCGCTAAAGTTGGCACTAACTTCGCCGACAAGCGGCAGTCGCTCGGTAGGTATAGTTCGCTTGCGGACTGCAGGTCACGGAGTTTGTATATGTTACTGTATCACTTGAGAGGTTTTTGAAAAATATACAAATTAAAAGTAATGTTTGGGGAAAATTGCCAAAATAGCCCAGCGAGCCGTATAAGAGAAACGCTAACAGACCGATCTGCGCCCCGCGGGTCACGGTGCGCCTACACATGAGATGGAGCATGAAGCTTCGTATTTTAGTATCATGGTAGGAAGCGGACATTTTGTTATCCTGGAGAGACTTTGAAACACAACGAAAAATTCAGTCGGGGCGAGACAGTATCACGGCCTAGATTCGAACCAAATACCTGCCTAATTTCCTAATACAAGTCTAGAATGTTCTCTCTTCACTCTGTAAAAAGAAACTAAATTAGTACACTTATTAGGAAAGCTGACGACATAAGATAATCAGGAATGAAGGACGAATTTCAGCAGGTGAAGGCAGCAATAGGCTTGGGGCTATTGCACCAGCCAATGGGAAGACTTCGTCATATTCTCTCGAGGTTAGACGACTCAACACGACCGCCGTGAGGGCCGTGAGCGAGCTCCGCAGTGATGCAGCACCGTTCGTGAAGACAGCAGTTCGAGGTAGGAACTAGTTGTTTATTGAGAAAGTTAACAGAATTCATGTGGCACTAACTGTAGGTCTTTGGGGAAACGACTGTTTATACCAACATCTCGTCACACTGTGTTGTAATTATCCTCATGTCTGCTGCAGACCGTCTTTAGTGTTCGAAAACTATATCTTGAATATGTCTGTTTTCTGAGATATAGCGCTGTGTAGTCCGGTGAATGTCAGCTGACATATCAGCTCTATCTCCAGTGCCGAAAAGTACCAGTGTGCAGCAGGCAACTTGCTGTGTAGTCCGACGCGATTTCTGTTTCATGCTAGTTTCTTGTGAGCCATGTTTACGTATGGCCCGGTTGGACGTCATCCCCCCTCCCCACTACTTCCCATTTCGCGTACTCCCATTATTCCGGTAGTGCCACGTGACCTCCTGCTCCAGCTGTTCTGGAATGCAGTAAGAGTTTCGTCTTGGTATGCGAGGAAGGTCTAGGCCGGTGAAGGTGTTGTGTGGCTGAGCTGTTGGTCGAAGCAAGTGGACATTCTGTTTGGACTCTTATCCTGCCGTTAGGGACTGTGACAGCCTTGTACGAGAGTAGTTCTGTGAGTTTTTTTTGGATATTGTAATTACTTTGGGTTTTTCTTATTGCCCCTTTTGAATGGTGGCAGCACTACGTAGGTATTATTTTATGTTTACGTATGTCGTTAGGTGAGTCTGGTTGAGATGGAATGTTTTGGGTTTTGTATTGTGTTGCCGAAGGGCTAGTCACTGTGGTTACAAAAAGGTTGTCATGTATTTCTAGAGTAGATGTTGCCTAACACTCCGAGTTCTTGTTATTTGTGAATCCTTGTTGTATTTTCTGTTCGTGATTTTTTGTTCTGTGCTCTACAAATGGTCGAGCGCAAAGGCGCCCAAGACAATTGGATTTGTTAATGAAAGTGTTTGGTTATATTATTATTTTTGTGTTATTATTGTTATTAAATACTTTGTATTGAGGTTGTGCCTTTCTCGAAATAACTGCTAACTTGGACACCCCAGTCCGTCTCGGAAGTATCGGGAACACAACCCGGGAACCAGGGACGAATACAGCGTCCTCCTTTTCTATTGTGAGCAGTGAGGAAATAAAGAAAGGAGGAGCTGCTAACTTTCTTGACTTATGACGAAAGCCGTCTCCGGGATGTGGCACCGTGTAGAAATTGTGTTAACCGACGTTTCGGAGGAACGTATCGCCTCCATCTACAGGGTAGAAGACAAGAAGAAATCCTGTTGCACCTGCTCTGCTGGTTCGCTCGCGGATTTCTTCTTGTCTTCCACCCTTAAGATGGAGGCGATATGTTCCTCCGAACCGTCGGTTAACACAATTTCTACACGGTGCCACATCCCAGAAGACGGCTTTCTTAATAGTCACCGCTGTGAAAACCTCAAATCTTACATTTCTTGACTTAATTTTCCTCCGAAACGTGTGTTGACTTTCAACATGGTACAAAATGTTATGTACTAAGAAACATAACTCTTAAAAAAATTAATGAAATATTAATCACATTTGTATGTGGTACTGACAAGTGTACTGACTTGCGGAGTGCTACGGGCGTTACTGTTGATTAAACACTTCACTATGTTCCCTGCAAAAGTTTAGCCGTGAAAATGGCAANCAATGTTGTAAGAAGAGGGTACAAAATATCTGGCTTTCACAGATATTGATTAACAGCATGATGAAACACTATACCTGTGCCACAGGTAACAGGCCTAATCAGAAACATTTCTGAGAATGTCAAGTCATGCTTATTTGGTTTAAGAATGATTGCCAATGTCCAGGGACCTTGTGCGAACTACTTGATAGCGTTGAGCATCATGAAAACTGTATGTTACATGTGTGTGTATGTATATTGCATAAGATTCTTCGTTCATGTAACGATGTTGTATGAAGAGCTTCACTCGGTGTAACGTTTCAGTGTAAATGCATAAAAATATTTGGAAGTCAGGATTAATGTGGTGTAAAATTTGAGGTTTTCATATTTGGGATATGACGTTTTGAAATATGACGTCCTGTATAGTTAGGTAGATACGTTACAACGTTTTGAAGGAACCTGCTTTCTCAATCTTCAGGTTCGTACCCTGTGGTTACCTTATCCCAGAAGATCTTAATTCAAGTTGTCTTAAGTCTTTGACTGTTTTAGAGTTCTAAGATAATCTAATTTTTTTCACTCGACTGTTAAGGAAATTCACTCGATAGGTCGCAGTCGATATGATTAGACTGAAAGTAAAAAACTGCAACTTCCCGATTGTAGAATCCAAGTGTTAAAGACACTTCATCGCTGCTTTCTGTATACAGGGTCGTCGAAGGTGTAGCAAACTTTGTTGTTCTGAAGAGTAATGTCTTCTGTGGCGACATGTTCCTTTAAAACGCATGGCTTTCTTGAACTTCAACCCTTCACCTCTTCATAGACACTACTGTGATAAGTTCAAAACGAATATTGTTCTTCTGGTTTGCGATAATGATCGATTTAATACGACGCGATTGTGTGCAGTAGTGTAAATTTTCTTCTGCTCTGTCAATCCACTTATTTCAGAAATTGGATCTACACGTATCTTCTGGTAACTGAATCTCATATGGTTCTGCGCATGTGCGACACATGAAAATACTTCATGAAATTCGATGATATTTGGTACTGAAATTTTGACAGCGCAGCCATTAAACTTTGTGTTGATAATACCATGCCTTGATTTTACTGTTGTTTTTTTCTGAAATTTTGAGAGAATAACATTAAGAATTATCTCACAAATTCTGTTGTCAGAATGGGAAGTGGATGAGAATGGCCTATGGTGGTATTCAATGGCGTGTTTTTATATTTACCTTTCAGGTACTTGTACCAGACAGTTACTATGACAGCTGATAAAATAAACTTATTGATGTGCTAAATTAAGCATGATACCATGAAGATATAGGTATATACCACGGAAGTATAGCTGTGCGCATTCCTAGTCTCGGCACTAGATGGAGGTGAATGGTAAGCTTCACGCTCTAGCCGCTTTTCTCTCGGGAAAATAAACACCTTGACCCATTTCATGGGAAGACAGGTTGGTCTCATATCTTGTGCAAAGGCTGCGACGAAGAGAAATATCTTTTAATCCGGTCGAGAACCGAATATCGATTCGCCGATCGACCAGCGATTATTCTAGGTGCTATACTAACAGCTTTTCTGGGTATAAACAGTTATAATAATAATAATAATAATAATAATAATAATAATAATAATAATAATAATAATAATAATGTTACACTTAGCAGATGTCGCCACCTTGGTTTTTGTTGCTGGCCCTGATGTCGGTGACTCTGAGTCACGGCGCCAGGATCCTGGGCCTGTTCCCTTTCCCAGCGAGGAGCCATCTCATGGTACATAAGGCTCTGATGTTGGAGCTAGCCAGGCGTGGTCACGAGATTACCGTGGTCAGTAGTTTTCCGGAAAGCAAGCCGATCCCTAACTACACGGACATCGTACTGAACACGAATATGGGTACTTTATCAGGAGGCCATGGTAAGTCTCTTGGAGGAATGTAGTATGAACGTACACGATTGTTTGCAATCCGAAAAAAATTCAGTCACTGTAAACTAAACTTACGAAGATATTTTTCATGTTTTATTTAACTGAGGGATGTAATGGCACCAGTAACTAAAGACGGGGTTCAGATTTGTGAATCGATTTATATGATGTTCACAAGTCGTAACTACAATTAGTTCTTACACTCTCAAGATTACAGCAATTATAACACATAAATACATTTTTCTATATATGCTTGCACTATTTGTTGCTAGGTAACAGATCTCAACTATGGCTAAGGCTTGACACTGTTTCCAGTGTATTAGACTCTCCAAATATTACACATAAAATCTTCTCTATCACAGCCGCCTGTATAGAACTGAATTCTCAACTGAACTGAAATAATCTAAGCTACAACACATCATCGTTATATAGGCTCCGCACGGACCACACAGGAAACAAGTCACGTGATTACTACCCAGGTAGTTCATTGGCGCGCTGGCTGCTGCCCAGCAGCGAGCTATAACATTTGTCCACTGAGACATAGTTTACATTGTTGCGCGTAGGAACGTGTTTACCGAGCCGTTGCCTAGAGACAGGTTGCATAACCCCGTTGCTCTATTGTTTCGTGCGTGTATTACTTAGCAACAGCTGTTTCTATGGCTTAACATCCCTTGCATGGGGCAAATACTCCACAATATATAAATTAATTTTTTTACCTTCACAGTTCCATCAAATTTGTTCGATATGAAGACAGTGGGGGCCGTGCAACTGGCAGTAATGTTGTGGTATATGGGTGAAGCATTGTGTGATCACATACTACAAGAAGAAAAGATTCAGAAACTGATCCACTCCAAAGATCTTAATTTTGATCTTGTGTTCGTCGAAGCCTTCTCTAACGAATGTTTCTTGGGATTCGCTCACAAATTCAATGCTCCCATTATACAAACCTGTACCTACGGAGGTGCAAATTTCATGGGAGACTGGGTAGGAAGTCCGAACCCATATTCATACGTCCCCGATGATCTCCTCGAGTACAAAGATAAGATGAACTTCTGGGAGAGACTGCACAATACAATTGTTGGTACACTGAAACACGTGGGAAGGCAACTGATTCACTTGCCGAAACAGAATGCTGTTATGCAGAAACGTTTCAACTATACAGATAACTTGCCACCTGTATGGGAGCTGGAATATAAAACGTCACTAGTATTTTTGAACACACACTACAGCCTGAGCTATCCGAAGCCTCTCACGCCTAACTACGTGCAGGTTGGCGGAATGCACGTGAAACCTCCGAAGAAACTTCCGCAGGTGAGGCACCTGGAGTTAATACGTAATTCTAATTTGTATCAGTAGTCATAACATTTCGCGACGCTGTTTCAACTTCACAACTTATGATAGAGTGACTGGTGAATGATGTACTGGAAATGACTTAGAAGAAAATAAATCGTGACCTTTCTAACGTGTCCTTTCTAAAAGTACTTTTCTGACCTAGGCTTCGTTCAGGGTGGCCGGCTTTCAGGCTGTGGTTTGGCACCCGAAACTGACGACTAAATGGCAGGAATGCCAGCCACACATACACATACGACGTCCGGTTTTTCTGGGTTGGGGAATACTGATCAGATTTCTTATAAAATACATCTGGAAATGGCTGCTGAGCTCTGTGCGATGAAATATTGTTTAAATGTTAGTACGTTCCAGTCCATTGACCTAACTGATCGACGTTTAGGTAGTGTTAACAAGACTGCTATTTCAGAGTTGAGTGTACATTTATGCTTAATAATTTTCGAAGAGTAATAGCATAAATTCTATTTATGTGGGTCATAAGATCTTGAGGTGCAATACAGGTTATGTTCTCAAAGAATCTGAGACACAGAATATAAGTAAGAAATATTTTATAACAGGAATTGCAGAAGTACCTTGACGAAGCTCCAGAAGGTGTGATATACTTCAGCATGGGCTCGAACCTTCAGAGCTCTCAGATGCCTGAATCCAAGAGAAATGTTTTTCTGAAAGTCTTCTCAAAGTTGAAGCAACAGGTTTTATGGAAATGGGAGACAGACACGTTGCCAGGACAACCAAGAAACGTGAAACTTGGAAAGTGGCTGCCTCAGTCGGACATTTTAGGTAAGTTTTAGTATAGGAATAAACAAAATGGCAAAGGAAGATATGCGCAATTAATGGAATTTTGCTCTGAAATTAATATCAGAAGAGTAATGATTAATTTCTTTGTGTTATTTTTTATTTATTTTATATCGCTTCGAAATTTTCAATGTCGTTCTACAGGTTTTTTTTTATTGCTAGTGGGGTGGGACTAAGTCCCTTGTACCAGTCCCAGATGATAGGTGAGGGTGATTGTGGAGCAATTGGTGGAATGAAGATTGGCAGGGGAAACCGAAGTACTCGGAGAAAACCTGCCCCAGCGCCAATTTGTCCACCACAAATCCCACTTTACAAGACCCTGAATCGAACCCGGGCCGCCGTGATGGGGAAGCCAGCGACTAACTGCTTGAGCTATGGCGAGGCCTCTCTCTACAGGTTACTAACGGCATTTTATTTGCTATCTGATTGCTTTTCAGCTTCTGTTATGTCCTCTCAGATATAATTTCTGTCGGCATATGCAAGTATGTGTTTGAAATGTAAGTGAAGTCACGATCCTATAGTACACTCATAATTTTTGTTTCTTTGACGATTTCCTTCAAAAAGGTTACACGGGCGTATTTTGTGTCTTGTAGCTCATCCCAATGTTAGACTCTTCATTACACACGGTGGAATACTGAGCATGCAGGAGGCCATCAACAGGGGCGTTCCTTTGCTTGGCATTCCAATATTCGGAGATCAGAGTATGAACATGCGTAAAGCCGTCTCAGCAGGCTATGGTGTTATGGTTGAATTCAGTAACGTCACTGAAGAGTCTCTGACATGGGCTATCAGAGAAATTCTTGAAGTTCCAAAGTATGTCTTATATACCTTCGTAATTATTATTATTACATCAGTATTATTCTCACCAATATTGCTGCTTTCATCGTAAAATACTTCTGTGATCTTTCACGAAATAGTATCTAGCGTTACATTCACACTTAACATGATTTGCCATTGAAATCTGGAAAAAAGACGATAACAGTTAAATGGTACGAGGTTAGATCGTCGGACTTTTATCAATTACTGTTATGTTTGTCACAGATACCGTGAGAATGCCCAGCGTCTGTCCCGTATCTACCGGGACCAGCCACTCACACCGCTGGAGCAGGCCGTGTTCTGGACGGAGCACGTGATCAGACACAAGGGAGCTCCTCACATGCGCTCCGCTGCACTCGACCTCACCTGGTACCAGTACTTCCTGCTAGATGTCATCGCTGTATTGACCCTAGCTGTGGGATCTGTTCTTCTAATCGTGTTCCTGCTGCTTAGGGCTCTCCTAACTAGAATTTGTGGTGGTAAACACAAAGAAATCGACAGTACAATAAAAAAGAAACGTAGCTAACTTAAGATCGAGAATATCAATCCAGCATTTACTAACACATTACTTGTGCCCTGTCTCTTTGTAACTTGTTAACACTTAGAACCACTGATTATATATGGCGTTATAGAATAACGAAGTTAAAAAATAAGCTTCAGGCTATTCATAATACGTGCGTGACAAACCAGATATTATTTTGCATGTTCGGTGGCGAATGGTGAAGGACTAAATGTTTAAACTGTCTAATACAGTTATATATTTGAATTCACAATGAAGTGTTCCCGCTATGCATTTTGTAGAAATTTGAATAAATGTTTGTAAGACTTGTACTTAATTATACGCCGTCTGAATTGGCAGGAGACTTGCAAAACATACAGAAAGAAGTGAATATGAGTGTAATATTAAATATAATGAAATATGTTGTTGTGTGATATGCTTTTGATCTTAGAGAGATAGGATGGGATGGTGTGGATGACCCAACCTGTGAAAGGTGCCTACAAGAAAACGAATCAGCCACACATATCCTATGTGACTGTGAGGCCATAGCTTACTTAAGATTTCGTCACGTGGGTCAGTTCTTCATGGAACCAAGTGACTTTTATGACGACCCCATAAATGAAGTTGTACATTTCATTCGAAGTGTAGGATTAATAAAGGATTAATCCAAATGGGAAGGACAATAGATCATTGAAGGTCGCAGTTCGAGGGCCTGATTTTATGGCCAAGCCTTTACACACAAATATACACGTGGGTTGGTGTGGACTGCATTGGTCTGGCTCAGGATAGGGAACAGTGGAGGGCATTTGTGAGCACGGTATTGAACCATCAGGTTCCATAAAATTCTGGAAATACGTGAGTAGCTGCACAATTGGCGGCTTATCAAGGAATCAGCTCCATGAGTGAGTGAGTGTCATGTGCTTATATTAAAGAGATGTAAATTCGGATAATGGTTGCTACCATTCATTTTGTAAAAGAAAAGTTGGAAGAGTAAAAGATAAATTATCTGCAGTTGTGNACTGCAGTCTGCGTTACCGTGTCTCACGGTGTTGTCGCTTGCAGATTTACCTATACTTTTTCTTCAACCCTGAAGATGGGGGCGATACGTTCCTCCGAAACGTCGGTTAACACCACATATACACGGCGCCAAAGCCCAGAAGACTGCTTTCTTCATAAATGCTGTTCCTTATTAATAGAATGATCAATCCAAGAATATAATGTGGGTAGAACATGTAGCATGGATGGGAGAGAAAAGGGGGTCATAAAGGGGGGTTGGTGTGAAACCTTCATGGTAAGAGAACAGTAGGAACACTTTGACGTAAATGGATGTACGTAATATTAAAACGGATAGAAAAGTAGAATGGGACCTGTGGTCTTGATTCATCTGGCTCAGGATAGAGACCTGTGTGTCTCTGTTTTGAATACAACAATGATTCTTCGTTTTACATGAGATGTTGGGTATTTCTTGTGTGACTGAAAAACTGTTGGCTTGTGAACAAGAAGTCAGCTCCATGGAGTTGGTTCATCTGCTTTTACAAGAGTTGACTTGAAGTGGTAGGTAACAACGGAGATAATAAATCTATTAAAATTGATATATTGGAATACTGTATATACCCATACAGGGCATCTAATTCCTATTTCCTACCAGGGATCTAATACAGAAAAAGCCAAAGATACTACGAAATTTTGGACGAAAACTATAACTAAAACTCCGTTGCTTTAGTCCGCAAGCGAGCTATGCCGAACGAACGACCGCCGCTTGTCCGTGAAGTTAGTGTTAATTTTAGCGGATAGAGGGTGTCGCGTGGTCAACGCAACGGATTCCCACTTGCCATTAATTTCGGTTTTCTAGACCGGAGCCGCTATTTCCTTGAAATAGCTCCT